TTATAACTATAGAGTGTAATAATAATTAGTAGCCCAATTTTTGATATGTGGAAAAAATTAGGCAGAGAGAATAATTACTTTGGCCTAAGGACACATATGTAGTAAGTGGCAGAGCTAGGTTCCCACCCAGGCAATCTAGTCTGTACTCCCAATCACTACAATAAGGCCCCGGAGCAGTAACAAGGGTCTGGAGGGACTCCTGTTTCCTAGCAACAGAGTTGATGGAGGGTCGCTTCAGCGGTCTTGCCAAGCTAGGATGATTGCCTCTAAGGTTTCCCAGCGCTGGAAGAATGGAGATGAGCCCCTTCTAGGAAAGAGCTGGAATTAGGGAGTCCTCACTCAAGTACTGGATAGGCTTTTCTGAACCTAGTTAAGAGAGATGCGAAGGACTTTCTAGTAAGCTTTGTGGGGCACTGAACTCGTAAGGGATACAGTTCTGGGGTTCTAGCCTATAATTAAACGTGTTGTCTCAGGCTTGACTTCTGTGAAATAGTTCTGCTGTACTCCCTCCATGCCTCTGAGCCAGTCTTTCACCTTATGCTTTAGGTTGACTTTTCACTGAAAATGATCTTGAAATTAAATTAAAAAAAATTTAAAGTTAAATTAAAAAAATATAAAGTTTCTGCTTTTCCAATACAAACCATACACTTTGATTCATTTTCAACCTATGGTTGAAATGTGATCCATTTTTCTGGAAGAATTCTGAGAAAACTCATTCTAAATTACTTTAGCATAACAAAGAATGTTCCTGCATTAAGCAAATCAATTTAATCCTCATACATTCATACAGTTTTGTTCAACAGTGAGTTTTCTCTACCATGTGCTAAATTTATATTAAACTTTTATATGATTAAAGTGATAAATATGCATAAATCAATAAACTTTCAAATATCTTAATGGCCAAATAGTCTACGGCAGCGTTCTTCAAATCAGTCCACAGAAACATTTCAGGGGTATGTGGGCCAGGATGATTTTTTTTTTTTGGTGAGATTGGCCCTGAGCTAACATCTGTTGCCAATCTTTTTTTTTTTCCTCCCCAAAGCCCCAGTACATATTTGTATATCCTAGTTGTTGGTTATTCTAGTTCTTCTGTGTGGGATGCTGCCACAGCATGGCTTGATGAGCCGTGTGTAGGTCTGTACCCAGGATCTGAACTGGCGAACCCTGGGCCACTGAAGTAGAGTGTGCGAACTTAACCACTTGGCCACAGGGCTGGCCCTGGCCAGGACAATTTTATTGGACTTGGTATCTTGAACATAACTTTCCATTTGAACTCCTGCCCCAAACGGAGGACCCCTCAGCCCCCTGAGATCCAGGCCCTCCTTTCACATTAGCTCCTTTCTCTTTTACGCATAAAAACTTACTTTTCTGAAACGTACTCTTACACCTCAGGGTATAAAATCCTTCAGGGTGGTGAAAAAGTTAATGATTGCCATGGCCGAGTAAAAAGATATCCCAAAAATGGGATTAGAAATACTTAAAATAATTAATTAAAAAATTTTTATTGAGGCCATAATGGTTTATAATGTGAAGTTTCAGGTGTACATTATTATTTACCAGTTTCTGTATAGACTGCATCATGCTCACTACTAGTAGTCTAATTTTTCTCTCTCACCATATATATGTGCCCCTTTACCTCTTTTGCCCACCCCCAAACCCCCTTCCCTTCTGGTCACCACAAATCTGTTCCCTTTGTCTGTGTGTTAGTTTATCTTCCACATATGAGTGCAATCATGTGGTGTTTGTCTTTCTCTGTCTGGCTTATTTTGCTTAACGTAATACCCTCAAGGTCCATCCATGTTGTTGCAAATGGGACGATTTTGTCTTTTTTATGGCTGAGTAGTATTCCATTGTATATATACATACACACCACATCTTCTTCATCCATTCATCCGTAGCAGGGCACTTGGGTTGCTTCCACGTCTTGGCTATTGTGAATAATGCTGCAATGAACATAGCGGTGCAAGTCTGTTTGAATTGTTGATTTCAAGTACTTTGGATAAATACCCAGTAGTGGGATAACTGGATCCTTTGGTATTTCTATAAAAAAATTAGATTTAGGGGCCAGCCCAGTGGCGCAGCAGTTAAGTTTGCACGTTTTGCTTCTTGGTGGCCAGGGATTCGCCGGTTCAGATCCCGGGTGTGGACATGGCACTGCTTGTCAAGCCATGCTGTGGTAGGCGTCCCACATATAAAGTAGAGGAAGATGGGCACGGATGTTAGCTCAGGGCCAGTCTTCCTCAGCAAAAAGAGGATTGGCAGCAGTTAGCTCAGGGCTGATCTTCCTCAAAAAAAAAAGTTAGATTTAATGTATCATAATTTGTTGTGATCAAGTATGATGGGGAAAGTAAAATGGAAACATAAGTTCAAGGAGAAAAAGGAATGATGTAAACTATCTTATTAAAAAAAGCCTGCTTGCGTCTTTTAAAAATGGATGATGGAAGTGTCAAGAGTATTTAGATTCTGTTGGATACATTTTAAAGATTTTATTTTTCCTTTTTCTTCCCAAAGCCCCCGGTACATAGTTGTGTACTTTTTAGCTGTGGGTCCTTCTAGTTGTGGCATGTGGGATGCCGCCTCAGCATGGCTTGATGAGCAGTGCCATGTCCATGCCCAGGATTGAACTGGCGAAACCCCAGGCTGCCAAAGTGGAGTGCATAAACTTAACCACTCGGCCACGGGGCCCGCCCCTGTTGGATACTTTTTTTCTTCTTTCTTTTTTGAGGAAGATTAGCCCTGAGCTAACTGCTGCCAATCCTCCTCTTTTTGCTGAAGAAGACTGGCCTTGAGCTAACATCCATGCTCATCTTCCTCTACTTTCTATGTGGGATGCCTACCACAGCATGGCTTGCCAAGTGGTGCCATGTCGGCACCCAGGATCCGAATTGGCAAACCCTGGGCCGCAAAGTGGAACGCGCACACTTAACTGCTATGCCACTGGGCCAGCCCCTGTTGGATACATTTTAAAAAACTGATGTAACAGTTTTATTTTAAAAGTCAATATTTACAGGATGCTAAAAACTGTACCCTTTTCAACTATTTGAACTTCTGAAAAACTGCAGATGTCAAATTGAAAGTTAGCAAAGGAGTACATAATTTTTTTTTTATTTTTATTTTTTATTTTTTTTCCCAAAGCCCCCCAGTACATAGTTGTGTATTCTTTGTTGTGGGTTCTTCTAGTTGCGGCATGTGGGACGCTGCCTCAGCGTGGTTTGATGAGCAGTGCCATGTCCGTGCCCAGGATTCGAACCAACGAAACACTGGGCCGCCTGCAGCGGAGCGCACGAACTTAACCACTCGGCCACGGGGCCAGCCCCAGGAGTACATAATTTTTAAAATTACTTTGTGGGTATGCAAGCAAAAAAGTTTGCAGACCACTTGTTTATGGTTATCTGTTAAACTTTTGAACACCCTAAGAGTATGACTGTCAACTTCCCATAGATTAGGGGCAGGTGAGTGTGGGGCACACGGATGTGCTGACAGAGCAGCCAGCCTGACAGGGCACGCACTCAACTATGGAGCTTGCTTCCACGCCCGAGCGGAGGCTCCGTGGCAGTCCCCGTACGTGGAGTCATGGCCTGAGCAGCCTGTCCATCCTCCTCACCAGGAGCCTCCCTACTTCTGGGCTCTCTGCACGCCTCCCTACCAAGACAGGGGAGTTGGGGAAGGTGAGCTTTAGGTGAGAGAGAAAGTACTGATCTAGTTCAAATTTTTGAAACTAGTGGTCCCTTTGACTAGAGCCTGTAACAAATACCTGTGCTGACTTATCGTTTGTAGACACACGATTTTCACTCGGCTTTTTGAAACGTTGACTAGAGTTACAACTACTTCATGCTGCTTTCTCCCAACCCCCAAGGCTTCCAGGTATCCCAGTATGGGACACTTTTCCCTCTTGAAATAGATAAAAAATGCTGCGCTTAATAAAACCAAAGTAACATACACCACACACACACAATAATCAATATAAAGACAAAAGCCCCACAAAAAAAACAAACAAAACCCAAAGACTAACAGCAACTCTCCCCGCCAACACACTGACAAAAGGCCTGTAAAAATAACTGTGTCTTGACTGAAGGGAAGTAATAATCTGTTGACTATTTCCTTTGAGAAGACTTGTGTGTGACGTCTTTAGATAAAGCTGATATGTGTAAACAATTTATGTTGATGCAGAGAGCTAAGCGCTCTCCTTCCGTTTTAACCTCTCTTTTCATTCACCTCCTACAATACAGACCGGATCTATCTGCATTTCATTTTGTGTGTTTCCGTTCGGAGAAGATGAATTTTTATACATCTGCAATTTGAATTAAATCTAAATCCTCTTTAATATAGCATGGGGAGGGAAAAAAAAAAGGACTGACCAGGGCCAATTTAGTTTCAGCCATTTTATATAGGAATCCAAAAGCATCAAATTTCCTTGTACCCTGGGAACAATATATAGCATGAACAAAAGGTTAGAGAGGGAAGAAAATGTAATTGATTCTGAAGAGCGTGAGCATCTGCAAAGAATGTATTGTAAGAGAAAATGATCTCCGAGGGCCCTGCTTATGACGATGAAACGGTTTTTAGTTACCCATGTCAGAGAAATAACCCTCTCTGCTCTATACACCTCTCTCCAAGTCCAATCCACTAAGCAGAGCGAGACTGCAGATGCTGGAAGCCGCTTTCTACAACACGGAAACAAAGAGAAATAGGCGTAGAAGACTTCACACAACGAAATTTGCCCAGCCGTGCTGAGCTGATGGCCTTAGAGAAAAAGTCAGAAAAACTTTATTCTGGTCCAAATTCTGTCATTAACTGTAACGTGATTGTGGCCAGGTCAATTTATCTCTCGGAGCGTCAAGTCCCTTAACTTTGACATGGGAGAGCGGGACCGGGTGACAGGAAAGGTCCTTTTATGATGCTGTCAATAAGATTAACAGACGACTTTTTCACCTAGAAGTCTCTTTAAGTCTCAGACTTTCCATTTTAGATAGAAAGAGCAAAAATTCTAACACGAGTGATTTAAGAACATCAACATTTATTTAACATGATAAAAAAGAAATGAGATATGAACATTTGCATTTAAACAGTAGTAAGTAGCCTTTAATACTTACATTACATGTGCTCATTGTATAATATATACACAATGAACATAATTACATTTGTACATAAACTAAGTACTGGATTTGAAAACTTGCTTATTGCTGTACACATCTATTCCAATGAAGGAGAAGCCCAGTGCTTCAAAATACCTACATTTTAAATTGTTTTTTAAGAAACAGTAAGCGTAACATTTGTGTTTAAGCCGACAAGAGTATGGCAGTAACTGCTGACATTGCAATCTGACTGAGAAATAATTATAGCAGAAAACGGGACATACTTCACTTAGCAATAATAAAATGGCACATTTTAAATATATATATAAAATTTTTACAAATCAAGTGTGAAACAAAGCATTGCAGGAGCCAAAATGGGAAGGAAAAAAAAAAGGAAACAAGCTTTGTTGGAAATAATAACTAAATTATGTACTGAAAAGCAAAAAGAAATATAAATCCACCTCGACTTCAGAAACATCAAAATCTGGAAATCAGTAACTGAGTAAGCACTGGCTGTAGACCGCACATTAAAAGCACCTTTACTTATGTGCTCTGAAATCATAGCAGCAAGCTGGCGTCAGAATAATAACCTTGAGATTATGGAGTGCACATATGGGCCGTTAAAGCTGTTTTGGAATAAACATTTTCCAGAAGTGATAAAACGATGCTCTGTGGCCAAAAGCATCAGAACTATGAATTTCATAGATTAAAAATATACTGTACAATATCTTCTCACATTGCCGAAGGTCCATGTCCTCAGCTCTGAATGGTTTCAACAGAAGTCAGTGTAGCTGAAAAATAACGAGAGGGACAATTACTTTGACACCTGCAAAGAGAATGAATGACCATTTCCTAAAGTAATTTGGGGGACCTTGTCTCTAACAATAGAATTGACAAGCATGGCCATGAAAATCTGAAAACAGAACACAATTAAAGGACATTTTCTCTTCATTTCCATAAGGTTGATTCACAAAGCAAAGAAACGTAATGCAATTAAATAGCAATTCAGAATTTAAAAAAGTGCCCCAAATTGTGGCTGAATCCAAAAGATCAACAAATGAGTAAAGATCTGCTAACTTCACTAAACTATGTTGTAAAATACTGAGCTGCCTACATAGTGATGTCGTTTGTAAAACTTTCCTAAGTTTCCTGCCAAAACTACCAGCTCAGAGAGATGACATAGACACAGTGAGAAGATATCAAATAATACAAGTTTGAGCACCACTAGTTGTTTGTGCTGGCTGCACGCCAAAAGGCTTGAAAATATCCGGCAATAACTGTACCTCATTCCAGTGTGTAAGGCCACTGGCTCCTGGAATGAGAGTAAACAAAACAAAATCTAATAATAACAACTTAAGGAACCTGGAAATGTGCTCGAGTGTTAACTATGAACATTCTTTATTATCAGTATGGTCTGTGTACACTGAATTGTAACCTGTTTATTGAACCAAAAGCTAACGAGAGTGGCTCTGAATGTACACTTATCCACTAAGACAGACAGAAGCCATCGGTCAACTCCTTGCACAGGAGGAATCCAACAAGCACAGTGTTTATCACTCTTTTTTTTTTTTTTTTGAGGAAGGTTAGCCCTGTGCTAACTGCTGCCAATCCTTTTTTTTTTTTTTTTTTTGCTGAGGAAGACCAGCCCTGAGCTAACATCCGTACCCATCTTCCTCTACTTTATATATGGGACGCCTACCACTGCATGGCTTTTGCCAAGATGTGCCACGTCTGCACCCGGGATCTGAGCCGGCGAACCCCAGGATGCCGAGAAGCAGAACGTGTGCACCTAACCATTGCGCCACTGGGCTGGCCCTAATGTTTATCACTCTTATGTCTGGTGTAATTCTGTCACTAGTGGCAACTGTCACTTCTGAATGGACTAAGTTAAAAGTTTAAATACATGAGTGACAAAGGCAAGACATGGGTAAGACTCTAACAAATAGGTGGTTTTCAACTCCAAAAAGGACATCAATCCTGCATGGATACCCACGGACAGCAAAGGCCTCTTCCAGGCTCCCAGTGGACATAATCTCGAATAAAAGTTACAAATACGACAAGACAGTTAAACATAAACCCTTCTGGATGAATAAGAGGACAGAGATTGTAACTGCTACAAAAAGGTGCGACTAGAAGTAGATTCTAGAAAATAAGCACTACTGGATAAACTTAGTCAAATTAACGTTTGTACTCATTTGAGAATCTAAAAATCAAAGAATACATTAGTAATAATGCGTGTAACGTCTGTGTTTTCGCTGCTTATGACTGTTTAACAGAAATCAGTGGTGAGCCCAAGGCGCCAAATATCACTAGATCTTGTAGATACTGAGGGAAAACATGCAGAAAATGGCATAAAATGCTCACACCATACCTCACAGCTTTTCTGAAAAGTAAAAAACGTGTATAGCTATAAGTACAAAAGCACAGGGAAAATTTAGCAACTGTCTATAACGTTTCAAAGCAAGACCTTAGGAAATTATTCTCAGTTCTAAAACTGTGGCCTAAGGAGCACTGTTCAAGAAAGGCTCCCTCCTTCTCCTTGTACCCACCCACGGCTTTTTCAGCAGCTACTTCCCTGACTTAAAAAAAATTAATTATTTAGAAATAATTTCTGTACATCTTAAAGATTTTAATATTCCATCTAGTGACTATACCATAAACGTTTCTTTGTCCTGTAAAATAATTAACAAACTCCCAATGCGGTAGATATGTCACGCTCATGGTAAAACACATTACTCAATCAACACGTAATGACTTAACCAGAATTCTCCGATCCAACGATGGAAAGGGACGTTAAGTGGGAGCACAGCTGCAAAGCACCGTGAGGCTTGTCTTGGCACAGGCCGTACCCTCTGCATTCCGCTGTTTTTACGGATGATGAAATAAGAGACAGAGAAAACGCTGTCACGGAGCAAATCCCTGGAAGGGCTAATGTTGGAAATCTGAGTTACTGCCCAGGGTTCAAAGACACGGCCTACTTGCTCTGCCAACTACCCCTAATGCGTAGTCCAGAATTAATCTCAGTTTTTCTTCACTAAAACAACAAATGAGTAAAAAACAGGGAAGCACAAATGCAAAGGGAAACAACGTACTTTTTCTGAGACTACACACACATGAAATGGGATCCTTCTGTGAGCTGCGGCTGAGTGGATGGAACTGGTGATGCCGAGGACTCAGGAGACGGGGGCAGACTTTTCACTGAAACACACCAAGAAAATGCGAGAAGGGAAAAACCTTTAGGACACATTTGGAGAAGGAAATTCTGATGCTGTGCCACAAAATAAGAACGTGTTTTGAGAAGGAATTAATAGTTGTATCTGGATTCTGTTCTTTCCTTTTTTAAACATTTTATTTTTTCTTTTTCTCCCCAAAGCCCCCTAGTACATGGTTGTGTATATATTGTGGGTCCTTCTTGCTGTGGTAATCAGGACGCCGCCTCAGCATGGCCTGATGAGCGGTGCCATGTCCGCGCCCAGGATCCGAACTGGCAAAATTCTGAGCTGCCAAAGCAGAACGAGTGAACTTAACCGCTCGGCCATGGGGCCAGCCCCCAGGATTCTGTTATTTTCTAATCTGGCAATTGACTATTCAGTATGAAATATCTCTTGAAGACTCTTTAAAAATTTGTCTTCCTGGTACACCTTAAACTTATACAATGTTATATATCAATTATATTTCAATAAAACTGAAAATTAAAATAATAATTTTTTTTTTTGCTTTAAGGTTAATTTTCGAGTGTCTGTCAGTGAATCACTTCTGTTTGGTCTCACTTTTAAAAGCTTTTCTACTTCTATGCAGCTAAATATTACAGACTGTTAAATGTTGTGGTTTTTGGGGCCAGCCTAGTGGTGTAGCGGTTAAGTTCACGTGCTCTGCTTCGGTGGCGCAGGGTTTGCTGGTTTAGATCCCTGGTGTGGACTTATGCATTGCTTATCAAGCCACACTGTGGTAGGCGTCCCAAATATAAAATCGAGGAAGATGGGCATGGATGTTAGCCCAGGGCCAATCTTCCTTGGCAAAAAGAGGAGGATTGGTGGTGTACGTTAGCTCAGAGCTGATCTTCCTCAAAAAAAAAAAAACGAAAAAAAAAGTTGTGGTTTTAATACACCCACATACCACTTTACCCAGACCTGCCATACCAATAACCAAAAGTGGTCAGTGACAATTAAAAAAAAAAAAAAAGGTGAGAATTTGTGTGCACACTGCCTTATAAGCGAAAGGCAAAGGAAAAAATGCTTAACATTGGTTACAAGGGAACATGACTGATGATATAAATTTGCATGTTATATGTGTATACAGTACAGAAAATGCTCTGCCAGAACCCCATGCTCTTCCCAAGAAGAACAGTCCCGAACACAGCTATCGGCCACACAATGACGTTTCAGTCAATCAGAGACCGCACGTACGACGGGCGTCCCATCAGATTAGTACCACATAGCCTGGGTGTGTAGGAGGCTATACCATTTGGTTTTGCATAAGTACACTCTGTGATGTTCGCACAACAATGAAATTGCCTAACAACGCATTTCTTAGAACATACCCTCGTCGTTAAGTGACACCTGACTGTAATTGAATTTCATTCTGCAAAAGGTTGGGGGGGCCATGGGGAGAGGAACGATTACTAAGAATGGTTTTTTGCTTATGGACTATGAGAAGCAAAGCTGATAATATGCACTCTTGGTATGATCCCTCATTCCTCCCCCTGGCCAAAAATCATAAAGAGAGGAAAAAAAGATGTGTGAAGAGTCCAAAAACTATGACAGAAGAATAGCATAGATAATTTAATTTTTTTAACATGCTATGGATCACGATCTTCTATCAAAGAAAAACCCAGATGTGGATTATAGTCGGGGCTAGAGCAAGCCAAGCCATTCTACCAGTTGAGATAATATATTAAGTCCTCCACAGTTTCCAAACTGGCAGGAAACAAAGTGTTCACAAACCTGTGAACACTCTGAGAATCCAGCCTCAGAGAAACAGGTCAAATTTCCAAGTGCTGAAAGATCTTCTAATCAGAAAAAAGTTACAGTAGTATTAAGGTTAAGATGAAAAAAAGAAAAAAAGAAGGAACTGATCCCCAAGCCAGGCCAGACCGTGTGGACCTAGCTGGCGAGGCAGGGTCCCTTCCCTCCTTTGTCCAGCTGCATCCCTGAAGGTGCACGTGGGAAGGCAAGGGCTGATGCATCTGCAGTCACAGTACTTAGGCGGCTCTCTTGATAGAAGCGCCACATGGGAAATCAACTCAGGGTTCAGAGGAAGCACCAGTGGGAAAATGATGAGATGTACCGTATGTACCTGCCATTGCTTGATTTCCTCTAGAAGCCTCAGGAGACCCGTCATAAGAAATAGCAGTTTCTTCCTGCTCAGGAATATCATCTTTTGTATCTTCTTCAGGGTGGCCTTCCGCTTTATGATTTGTGATCTGTGTCTCATCCTGAGGGCTAATGAAAACAGATTGATGTTTTAAAATTTGTTGTTATAGAATGCAATTAAGTTTTTTCTTCCAATTTATTGTTACAAAAATTTTTAGCCATATGGAAAAGATGCCACCATCTATATTTAGTTTGTAATTAATCTCTTTTCTGCTTTTCCCCCTTTTTTACGGAAATTTCAAACATAAAAAAAATTAGAGCAGGGGCCGGCCCCGTGTCCGAGTGGTTAAGTTCTCGCATTCCGCTGTGGCAGCCCAGGGTTTTGCTGGTTCAGATTCTGGGCTTGGACATGGCACCGCTCATCAGGCCACACTGAGGCGGCATCCCACATGCCACAACTAGAAGGACCCACAACTAAAGATATACAACTATCTACCGGGGGGCTTCGGGGAGAAAAAGGAAAAATAAAATCTTAAAAAAAAAAAAAATTAGAACAAATAATATATGAAACCTGTCACTCAACTTTAATAATTATCCACATTTCACCAATCTTGTTTCATCTAAAGCCCCAGTTCCCTATTCTCCAAATTATTTTAGAGCAGACTCCTGACATATCATTCAATACCTCAGTCTGCATTTACAATACCTTAATATCATCAAATTTCCAGTCAGTGCTCAAATTTTCCTGATTGCTTCATAGTATCATTTTAGAGTTATCTGTTTGAATCGGGATCCAAAGTCTGTACGTTGTATTTGCCCAACAAGTCTCTTAAATTTTACTTTAACCTAAAAGACCCCACCCTACACCCCCTTTTATTTTTTGCCACTTATTTGTGAAAGCACCTGGTTTATTTGTCCTATATTCTGGATTTTGACGAATGTATCTCTCATATTTTTTACTAACTGATATAATTTCGAGGCTTGATTGAATTCAGGTTTTTGGGGGAAGGTGGGCAAGTGATACTTCGTTAGGTGGGGGTCACGCACTATCGAATTAACAGGCTGTCTCAGTGACTTGAATTAACAAAAGAGTAGAGATCTTTTTCTTATCAGCTATTGCCAAATATTTTTCAAATTCAATCTTGCTATTCACTGAAGAGAGAAAAGCATTCCTAACAACATCAAAACACAGTATTTGTCTTTTCCAGCTCTGGTAATTTTTTTTTGTGAGGACGGTTGGCCCTGAGCTAACATCTGTTGCCAATCTTCCTCTTTTTCCTTGAGGAAGATGGTCCCTGAGCTAACACCTGTGCCAGTCTTCCTCTGTGTTGTATGTGGGATGCCGCCACAGCATGGCTTGATGAGTGGTGTGTAGGTCTCCACCTGGGATCTGAACCAGTGAACCCTGGGCCACTGAAGTGCATGAACTTAATCACTATGCCACTGGGCTAGCCTCTGGAAATTGTTTTTTAATGGAGGATGAGATTAAGGATATAGACTTAAGAAGGCTAGTTAAATACAGCTAAAAAATTAATAGCAAATCACTGCAATTTTTGGAGCATTTCTCAGACAACTTACACTTATGATCAATGTCTATCATTAGGTAGGCAACAGTGGGGTGGTTACTTTGTTACAGCTTATGTACCGTTGGCATTTTTTTTTTTTTTTTTACAGGTATTACAGAATACTTCCTAGGTGCTAAGGACAGTGTTAATATTTTCTTATTTAAGCATTACAGCACATTTGTGAGACAGATAACTATTATTATCCCCATTTTTACAAGTGAGGAGGCTGGAGCTTAGGAAGGTTATGTAAACTGCTCAAGATCCTACAGCTCCTAAGTAGCTAAGATGAGACTGGGATCCAAGACTTATTGACTCTGAAGTTCAACATTTTTTTTTTTTTTTTTTAAAGATTGGCACCTGAGCTAACATCTGTTGCCAATCTTCTTCTTTTCTTTTTCTTCTTCTTCTCCCCAAAGGCTCCCAGTACACAGTTGAATGTTCTGGTTTCAGGTCCTTCTTTTTTGAGGAAGATTAGCCCTGAACTAACTGCTGCCAATCCCCCTCTTTTTGCTGAGGAAGACTGGCCCTGAGCTAACATCCATGCCCATCTTCCTCTACTTTCTATGTGGGACGCCTACCACAGCATGGTGTGCCAAGTGGTGCCATGTCCGCACCTGGGACGCGAACCAGTGAACCCCAGGCCACCCAAGCAGAACGTGCGCATTTAATTGCTGCGCCACTGGGCTGGCCCCAGGTTGCAGGTCCTTCTAGTTGTGGCATGTGGGGCTCTGCCATGGCATGGCCTGATGAGCAGTGCTAGGTCTGTGCCCAGGATCCAAACCAGTGAGAACTCAGGCTACTGAAGTGGAGTGTGTGCAAACTTAACCACTTGGCCACAGGGCTGGCCCCTGAAGTTCACCATATTTAAGCAGTTATACAATTTTGTGAATAATTCCTTTGTCCATTTTCCCTAATTATTACCTGTAAGAAACATCCTCAGGCATTTTTTCTTTGTTTCTTTCTTTATCCACCACTTCTTCAGAATTTACTCCATTTGGTTCAGGTTTGAAAAGTGTTTCATAAAAAGCGTTTTCAGTTTTTTGAGACTACAGAATAAGAAAAATTTGCAAAGCATTCTTACTACATTTAATATTTATTAGTAACCTAAAATAATTCAAAAATAAAAATTTATTAAAAAATTATACCCTGTCAAATATTTACTGAAATATAAATTTAGATTCAAATATATTAAAAATATGAACATTCTTTACTCCTAGGATACAAAAAGCTATCTGCCCAAAGGGATAATGCACTTTGCTAATAGCTAGCTGCTTTGGGACACAAGATTCTTTAACCAGCTTAACAGTAATTTATTCCAGTGTTGATTGACCATGTTTTAAATTTCTGATTAACCCATTTTTTTGACATGGCTGAATACATCAACTTAAAAGGAAACCTATCATTTCACTTCGAGCTATGGCCTCTGTGACGCGATGAAACATAACTTTATTTTCAATCTTACCACTTGATCTCATCTTCAAAAATCTACCCCTTTGGAATATCTGTCCTGAAATAATCTCTCTACCTCTTTGCTGAAATCCGCATTTGGAGGCTCAGTTTCTTTTAGTCGAACAATTTCTGCTGCAGGAGCTTCATCATCTGGCTTCACATTATTTTCTTTAATAACAGTGTCCACTTCCTTAATGTTATCATCCCTCCTTCGAGTCTGTCCAAAAGACATACAGCATTTTTAGATTCATACGATGAAGCCATGTATAGTTTTTAGATAACACCTGTTAATTTTGGAAAAAAAAAAAAGCCCAGAAACCTGGATCTTCACTCACACAGTTTCCTTATGAAAATCAAAAGAAATTTATACATGTATGTGTATATATATACTAGTATGCCACACACTTTTTCTTCTCATCTCTTTTATTTTAACCATCCGTTTTGTAATCTGCAGGATGGAGAGTTATTCAACTGTTAATCTGTTGAATCTCCAGGAGCAGTGCCTGCTCTTGATTGACGGAAAGAGGACTTCTGTGAAGACAGTGAAGCCCTTTCAGCTGATGCATGCTTACTCACAGGCATAGACCAGACAGAAGCCACTGAAAAAGTTCACTAGTCTCTGTATTTACAAATTGCGGTAACAAACAAATAAGAAGAAATGGAATGGTGTCACATCACAAGGCTCAAGGTGAGATGTGATGAGCAGTAGACTTAGAACTTTGACTTAGAAGCTCTCTCCTCCTACAATTTAGGTCATGTTAAATTAGGACACAGAGCAATATACATTTTATTGGGAGGGGAATTGGGGAATGTCTTGGTGACCTGCATGGCATTTAACATTTGCTGAAAGCACTTTTATCTTCTTAGTCTCTCTGTGAAGTAGATGCGGCAGACTGTATCATTATGCTACTTAGAGTAGAGATGAAGTCTATAACTGGTCCAACGGCATCCAACAAGTAATATAGCTCTGGTTTTTTGAACCTAGGGCTAATTCCACTTTACTAACCTGTCTTAGCTTATTATTATAAGAGTTAAAAAATACAAAATAGTTGTATATATTGTAGACATCTACAACCCATCAATCATATAACTCGATGATTCTAAGAGTCAAGTGACAGTAGATGTACACACAGGAATGATGGAAAGCAATTGATATACCTACCTGGGCAACCCTGAATGGATGGTCCCTCGCACTTGAAGGACTCTGTAAGGGTGACGGGTCTAAAGCACCAATGATGTTTAGTCCCTTTTTCTTTTCCCTTAAGCATGCTTGCTGGTGTCTCCTGATTCTTTCCATCTGCTCTTCCACAGTCATCCGAGGTCGACTAGTTTCGGCCAAACAGAGCTGTTCCACTGCACTCCTTGGTCTTTCCTTCAAATTAAAAACAACACACGATCACACACATACAGTCACTTCTGAAAAGGATTTTGGAAGAAAAAATGTGAAATGCATTTCTTTTGTTTCCAAAATCAAAAGTGGAGGTTTTGAATGTCCTTTTGCTGACACCAGAAAGGCGAATTATTTTATCCTTAAATGGTAATTAGTGATGCCTGGTCAACGACGCAAAGAAAGAGAAAGAGGGGAGGGAGGAGGGAAAGAGGAGGAATTTCATGATGGTATTTTCTTGCTTGGAAAAAAAAAAAAAAAAAAAAGGTCTGGCAGCTCTGCAGTGAACCCACCCCATGGCTCAGAAACGGGAAATCGTATAAAACTCAAACCAGGAGAAAATAGGGGGCACAGTGTCTAAATATGAAGGATTTCTTTTATTTTAATGAAAATATAAGGTTTTAAGTCACATATTTACTGTGAAAAGACTAATAGAAAAAATATCCTTAGTTTATGATCAATAGAAAAACTATGAAAGTATCTATTTTCCATATGTCACTTATATTTGAAAACTTTTTACACATACGGCTCATTTTTATGGTTTACGGAAAGGTTTAAAAATATTGGTCAGGGGCCGGCCTGGTGGCACAGCAGTTAAGTTCCCACATTCCACTTTGGCGGCCTGGGGTTCGCCGGTTCAGATCCCGGGTGCAGACATGGCACCGCTTGGCAAGCCATGCTGTGGTAGGCATCCCACATATAAAGTAGAGGAAGATGGGCACGGATGTTAGCTCAGGGCCAGTCTTCCTCAGCAAAAAGAGGAGGATTGGCAGCAGCTAGCTCAGGCCTAATCTTCCTCAAAAAAATAAAATATAAAAAATATTGGTAACGAGCTGGGCCTGTGGCTGACTAGTTAAGTTTGCGCGCTCAGCTCCTGCAGCTCAGGGTTTCGCTGGTTCAGATCCTGGGCATGGACCTGGCACCACTCATCAAGCCATGCCGAGGCGGCATCCCACATAGCACAACCAGAAGGACTTACAACTAGAATATACAACTATGTACTGGGGGCCTTTGGGGAGAAGATGAAGAAGAAGAAAAAAGAAGATTGGCAACAGATGTTAGCTCAGGTACCAATCTTTAAAAAGAAAAAGGCCACATTAAACAATTAATTCTTATGTGTCATTTTCTTACTAAAGATATAAAACAGTATTGGTATAAGACCCCAAATAAATACTTCAACCATTAGTCATAGGCAAATTTTAGCTTATTTCATAAAACAGAAATTTAGGGCCACCCCAGTGGTGCAGCGGTTAAGTTCGCATGTTCTACTTCTCGGCAGCCTGGGGTTCACCGATTCGGATCCCGGGTGCGGACATGGCACTGCTTGGCAAGCCATGCTGTGGTAGGCATCCCATATATAAAGCAGAGGAAGATGGGCATGGATGTTAGCTCAGGGCCAGTCTTCCTCACCAAAAAGAGGAGGATTGGCAGTAGTTTGCTCAGGGCTAATCTTCCTCAAAAAAAAAAAACAAAAACCCAAAACCTAGACATTTAAAAGACTAAATGTACTAGGATTTATAGAGTGGAATCCTTAGGTTTCCATGTGTCCTTTGGTCTGAACTGACTGAGACACGGGTGGAGTTGCGGGAGTTGCTGAAAGAACCCAGGGCAGAGGTAAGTATTTCTGTGACGAAGCGTATGTCAGGCTAGTGGATAAAATTCTTTTGTCTCCACTACAATCTGAAAAACATCTGCAGGGCAGGAGCTGCAAACTATTTTCTGCTATGCAGAAGAACTTTTTTTTTTGAGGAAGATTAGCCCTGAGCTAACTGCTGCCAATCCTCCTCTTTTTGCTGAGGAAGACTGGCCCTGAGCTAACATCCATGCCCATCTTCCTCTGCTTTATATGTGGGATGCCTACCACAGCACTGCTTGACAAGTGGTGCCATGTCTACACCGAGGATCTAAACCGGCGAACCCTGGGCCGACAAAGTGGAATGCACGCATTCAACCACTGCACCACCGGGCCGGCCCCCAGGAGAACTATATTAAAGAGCTCAAGCGGAAACTAAAAGGAAAAGGAAAAATGAAATGATGATGATTGTCAATTATTTGTAAAATAAAACGCATTTGCTTTTGCAAAAAAAAAAAAAAAGTAAATTCTAGATATGGATTGGGAAGGTAGCCACTTCAGCACCCTTTCCTTTTACTTTTAGTAACAACAAACGTGTATTCTTCCTGGTTTTCCTATGTTTATGCAAAAATGTCACACTGCAACTTCCAAATTATCATAGTGTACACTCTATTCTTTTAAATGCAAGATATTATTCATTTTTAGACCTTTTCTCCAATATGATAACTGGAAAAGTGTATCTCACTGAGGTTTTAGTTAGTATTTAAAAAATTATTATTACGGTTGAACAATTTTCACACATTTGTACTGTTACATATTTTCCATTAAAACAAACCCTTAAAAATAACCGATTTATATTCATTCCTCATATATTAAGAAACATGTCTGTTATATTGCCAATATTTCCTTCTGGCGCTGGTACTGAGGATAAAGGGCTTTCCCATACCATCATAATACAACTATAGTCTTCTATCCTTTCCCTGCCATATTTGGTTATGCAGAAGTCTTTCTTCTAGTAGTTAAGATAGTTATTAAAAAAAGATACTTATAGAATGATATAAATCCACTAATAGCTTTCTGCTTGATCTCATTATGCATTTTCTTCGTTTTTTTCTCTTGATCTATTTTAACACTGTAATTTCCAAAGAAAACACCCTTTCAATCTGTAAAACTGCCTAACTCTATGAACAGAACGATGACCACTGATGCTAATACTGACACATAGCTACTCATTATTTTTATTCTACAATAATTCCTTTTATAGGTCTTTATTATTTAGTACTAATTGAAAATACTTTATTTCTTAAATACAAATTTGCCAGATTTTTGGGCATCTACTTTGTAGCTGTACTTTAATATCTTTCAAGAACAAACATAAATCTTATCATTTGTAGTACCTTTCTTATAGCATTTTCTTATAGATTAAAATGATCTCATATCAAATAAGTAGATTTACGAAGGATAAAAAGTAAAAGTTCCTTTGCAGCCAAAATTTCCAGAGCCTACTTGGTGAAAGGGAGTTAAGTACCCAGAGAATCTTCCCAAGAAGACCAAGGATAGACTGGTTTTAAGCCAGTTTGAATTAAACAGATCTCAGATGAAAACTGTGAAATTTAGGATTTATTTCCCAGTCTCAATTCAGATTTCTCAGAGCAACCAGAGGATTGCCAAATTCCAAATCCACCGCAGCTGAAAGGCTATGCGTGGAAACCCACTAACTTGGAACACCATAAGACACGTCTATCACGCTCATCAAGGAAATTCTTGGAGGTGTCAAGGGATGTAACACAGGGTGGCTATCTGAGAGCAGTTTCCACAAACTGTGGACTCCGACCCCACGTCAAGGCTGATCAAAGGAAACCTAGATTAGGTACTGAGTAGGTCTGTTCTCTGAGGTGCTAATTCCCTGAATCTAATGTTTTAAAAAATAAGATAATTAAGCCTTTCTTAGAGTATGTAAAAAAATATTTGACAGAATACTAAACATGGAAACATATATAAGAAAGCAACAAACAGGTTTGAGAATCCTTCTAGAAACTAATTCCTAGTTAAATACCGTTCTTGTATCCATCATCTTCTTAGTTTTCCTTAAAGTTACATATGAGGCTATTGTCGAAGATTCGGGCGTTGGTGATTTTGTCCTTGGAGGGACTACTCCAACAGGAAAGTGGGGACCTAAAAATTAAAACAGCAGTAAGTTCTACAAACATCTCTCACACAACTTGGCTTTCTTTTCACACAGTCAATTTCTGAGGCTTTGAAAATTAGAAGGCAAATTTATTGTCTGAATAGACCAGGGGAAAATAGTTCCATTAGTTATTCCACCTAATAGGTCAGCCAAGGATACTACCAGACAAATTTAGGGTTAGATTTTAGAAATGAAATTCTATAGATGGACAGATGACAGAAAAAATTAATTATAAAATTTGGTATACTTACTGGGTCATATATCCTTACAATAACTCAGTAAAGAAAAGAAGGTAAGGGAAGTTCAGTATATGGGTTAATTCACTTCCTTGAGTCCATACAGCTCATCAGCAGCGTGGCTGCAGCTTCTGCTTTAGCCCTCTTTCCACTGCTGCTCTGCTTTCTCATGAAGCATTCACAACATTTTCAGAGGCTGGAAGTACCTTAACTGAATCCTCTCACGTATCACAGATTGGGAAAGTTACGGCCCAGAAGGGTTAAGTGATTTACCTAAATACCCTCAATTTCCAGCTGGTCTCCTTCAACCACACTCTACTGCCTTAATGAAGAATCCACTAACAATAGTTAACTAGAGGGAATCATTGTTACTTTCTCTTTTGTACTTTTAAAAGTTTCTAAAATGAACACACACCACTTTTATAAATAGATCCACCCACACAGATACAGAAAGTCATTAACACAACAACGAAATCTAACAGTAAGTTAACATATAAAATGTATGCATTTATACCGTAGACATCTTGTATAAGCAGAATGTACACACTATTGTCCACTGAGGACATCAGTAAAAGAACAAATTACTAAAATCTCAACGGTTTGCTTAAAAAAAATTCATTCTTGTTAGGCTGACTTATTGAAAAATGGTAGATCAATTATTCAGGGCCCCTTTAGGTTTATAAACCAAACAATCAGCAGTTCGAATAAGTTTTAATATTATTTATGAACTCTATATTATAGAGTTACATATTTGAGAATGTGAAGAGCTGAATTCACACACAATACAGGTAATTTTGCAATTCAAACAAAGTAAAGGCCTCTATTACGCCAGTTAGTGGTCCATTTTTAAAAGCCCTACTTTATGTCATGTGGTACAAAATAAATTATACCATAATTGACCTGTGTACTTCAGACAATTTATTTAGATGAGAGCTTATAAGTTAAAAAAAACCCAAAAACCCCAAATTTTAAAAGCTGCATAACTTCAAGTAAGAATTCAAATCTGATTGGAGAACATATTTCAGATGATATATTTTATGAGTAAATACATGCATTGGCAGAACAAATGATTATCTACTTCTTTACTTTTTTCAATTCAATTCAATACCTATCGATGAGTCAAAATCACTATACACAATCACTTATTAAATAATTTCTACATTTTGTAAACTTGACCTGTTGCATTTATCCCATCATGGGGCAGGATGGTCATAAGACTGTGTAGGAACCAGAAAAAAGAATGCAATAGGATATGTGAAATCAAAGAATAAAACACAGTCCTTATCTTACATATGCTTTAAACACTTTGCCCACAGGATCAGAAATGTTATACATGTGATAAATGGCAACTCTCTTCCATCCCCTGCTCAAGGGGGCAGACGCTACAGTAAACCAGTGCTGTTGGCTCAGACGCAGTCTGGAGAGATCTGAGTTTTTAAAAAAGCTGCAAAGTTCTAATTTTTAAATGTTAGCAACCAACAATGCTTTTGAGTTAAAAAAAAAAAGAAATCATAGGGGCCGGTCCCATGGCCGAGTGGTTAAATTCGTGTGCTCCACTTTGGCAGCCCAGGGTCTCACTGGTTTGGATCCTGGGCGCAGACATGGCACCGCTCATCAAGCCATGCTGAAGTGGGCATGCCACATAGCACAACCAGAGGCGCTCACAATTGGATTATACAACTATGTACTGGGGGGCTTTGCGGAGAAGAATAAGAAAAAAAAAGAAGATTGGCAACAGATGTTAGCTCAGGTGCCAATCTTTAAAAAAAAAAAAAATCATAGATCAAACTTATTTATAAATATTCATGTAAAAATCTGAAATAAATCATTATCAAATACAATCTACTAGCACATTAAAGGAAAAATACACCACAACTGAGGTTTATACTAGGAATGCAAATGGATGGTTTAATATTACGAAATCTACTAATTGTAGCTCAAAATATTAATATATATAAAAAAGAGAAAAATACGATCATTAGGAAAGGCATCTAATAAAATTCAGTATCCTTTCATGAAAAAGAAACACTTCACTAAAATAAGAATAAACGACAACTAGAAGGACCCACAACTAAAAAATATATACAACTATGTACTGGGGGGCTTTGGGGAGAAGAAGGAAAAATTAAATTGAAAAAAAAAAGAAGAATAAACAGATACTTCCATAATATGACAAAACGTAGATATCCCAAACCAAAGCCAGGATCATGATCAATGGGAAAAATTTAAAAGCATTCTTGCTAAAGTCAACAACAGAATTAGGATGCCCACTAAGCTCCTCTATTTCTTAATAATACTGCGGAGCTACTGGATCCAGAGAAGGAAGAGGCTTAGAATTTAGGAAGGAAAAAGGATAGTTATAATTATGACATAACTGTATATCTGGAAAATCCAAGTAAAACAACTAAAATACTACTAAGAAAAGTTCAATTCAAAAAGGTAAGGTCAGTCTTAACTTTAGCCATTCCGGTTTGTGTATGGTGGTATCTCATTGTGGTTTTCATTTACATTTTTCTATGACCAAAAAGACTGAGCTCCTCTTCATAGGCTTATTTGCTATGTGACTATATTCTTTTGAAAAGTGTCTATTCGCATGTTGTATACTCCCTGACTTTTATATCTTGGCCCTGTGTTACGTATTCACCAACAAGAAACGAGAACAAAGATCTGGCTTGTGGGCCGTTGGTTGTAACAACTTAAACCTCTGCTTCAAGTTTCTCCCACTCATGGCTGTATGCCTGATATTTCATGAACTGCTACACCACCCAAATTTTCACTTATCACCTACTACATAATTGCTGATTGGACAAATGAAAAAGATTTACTTTTTAAAATTGTTTTTTTTAATTAAATAGAGCATATAAATGAATAAGTACAAAATATGTGCAAGTATAAAGAAAAATGACCGGGATAAAGAAATATCATCACTTTTAGTAGCCTTTTCTCAACCTTCTCTAAACCTCTCTCCTCAGAGGTAGTAACTGTTGAATTACATGTTTATCTTTCCTCTGCTTTTCTTTATAGTTTTGTAATATTTGAATTCCTAAAAAATATACTATTTTCCTTTTGCCTATTTTAGACTTTTATATACATGGAATTATATATTATGTATCTTTCTGCAACTTGATGTTTTCACTCAACATTAGGCTTAATTTTTTAATAGACTTAAGTTTTAGGCGTGTTTGTAAACACTGTATAGCCATGTTTTTAATTTTAATCCAGTTTGACAATCTTTTTCTTTCGAGTGAAGCATTTAGTCCAATTATATTTGTTGTAGTTATGGATATATTTAGGTGCATTTCTACCAACTTAGTTTTTGCTTTGCATTTTTCCCACTTCTTCCATTTTTTTTCCTCTTTCTTCTTTTGGATTACTTTTGTTTGCCTCCTTACTGGTTTGGAAGGTATGCACAGTCTATTTTTTTTCTTTATCTGATACCCTAACATGCATACGTAACCTATTAAACTCTAACCAGGGTCATCATCATTCTCTGGAAGAATATAAGGACCTTAGAACATGTTAATGCCAACAGACCTCTTGTTTTATATGCTACTGTTACCAAACGTTTTAGTTCTAGGCCTCTTAGAGCTTCCGTATCTGATCAATTTCCTTCTACTTGAAGTATTACAGAACGCTCTTAAATGACGGTCAGTAAGCGGCAAATTCACCCAGTTTTTGTCTTTACCACCCATCGCAAGTTTTTACCAAGGCAAAAGGTATACTGAAGGGTACAGATATTAGGTGTACAACTGGTGAGGTCTGACAAATGCATATGCCTGTGCAATTATCTCAGTCAAGATAAAGTCCCTCTCTATCACCCCACTCAGTCCCATTCCAGTCAATCTCACTCTTCTGCCAAAGGCAACTCTTTTCCTGCTGTCTATCACCGATAGACCAGTTTTACCTATTCTCACACTTTATATAAAGAAATCTAAACTATGTCTCCTTTGTGTTAGGCTTCTTTCACTCAACATAATTTTTTTCATGTTTATCCATGTTTTTGATATTCATACATGTACACCTGTCAATAGTTTTTTTTTTTTAATTGCTGAGGAGTATTCTAGTATATGAAGATATCACAATTTGTTTACCCATACTCTTGTTGACAGACATATAGGTTGCTTCCAGTTTTTGTCTATTATGAATTAAAGCTACTATAAAAATACTTGTATGAGTCTTTTTAAGGAATTATGTTTTCATTTTCCTTAGGTAAATATATAGGAGTACGATTGCTGGATATGATAATTGCATGTTTAACTTTATAAGAAACTGCCAAACTGTCGTTCTATTCTATTACTACCATAAGAACTGCGTGTGAGTTCCAATTGTTCCATGCCCTAACCAACACTTAGTAGTCAGTGTTATTTTTTTAAGATTGGCACCTGAGCTGACATCTGTTGCTAATCTTTTTTTTTTTTCCCTTCTCCTTCTTCTCCCCAAAGCCCCCCAGCACATAGTTGTATATTAGTGTAGGTCCTTTCGGTTCTGCTGTGTGGGACACCACCTCAGCATGGCTCGATGAGTGGTGCTGGATCAGCACCCGGGATGTGAACCACTGAAAACCCCTGGGCTGCAGAAGTGGAGCACGTGAACTTAACCACTTGGCCATGGGGCTGGCCCCAGTTAGTCTTTTAAATATAGCCTTTCTAGGAGGTGTGAACTGTGAGTTTAATTTGCATTAAAACTGCATTTTTTTTTAATGATAAATCAGCTGTAAACTCTCTGGATATCTGTATATCTTATTTGTTAAGTGTCCAAGTCTTTTGCCTACATTTTCTTGGGCTGTTTGTCTTTATTATTGATTTGCAAGAATTGTTTATATATTCTAGATACAAGGCCTTTGTCAGATAGATATATTGGTAACATTTTCTCCCCTTCTGATGGGCAGAAGTTCTACATTTTGATGAAATCCAATTAACCAGTTTCACTGAGAGTACAGCGCTCAGAAGGTCCCAGCTTTAACTGAGGGGGTCTCTTACCAGACTCCTTATTTGTTCAGGCTCTGAGCTTTGTCATGTCACAAGGCAAAAGCTGGCTTAGGGCTCCACTTACCTGTTTGGATCCCTTCTGCTGTGGACTAAATTGTGTCCTAAAATTCACGTTGAAGCTTTAACCCTTGAACGTAACTGTATTGGTGATAGGGTCTATATGGAGGTAATTAAGCTTAAATGGGATCATAAGGGTTATAATCCGATAGGATTAGTGTCCTTATAAAAAGAGACACCAGGGAGCTTACATGTGATCTCTTTCTCTTTGCTCACACTCAGAGGAAAAGGCATGTGAAGGTGCAGCAAGGAGCAGCCATCCGCAAGCTGGGAAGACAGTCCTTACCTGAAACCAAACCCTGCCGGACCTTGATCCGGGATTTCTGGCCTCCAGAACTGTGAGAACACATTTCTGTTGTTTCAGCCACTCAGCCTGTGGTATTTTGTTACGGCAGCCTAAACAGACTAATGTGCCACCCTGCACATAATCTTTGGCCTGAGCATTCCTTTCTTTACTTTTGCTCAACTTGTTGAAGCTTCTCAAAAAATTTAAAAGTATATTAACAAGCAATTGTAGTCACTTTTTGTGGGAGGAGTGGCCAGGGCATGTAGTTAGCTGTATTGCCAAAAACATTTACTTTTGTTTGCATTCTGATATTTCCTGTATATTTATAATAATATGCACCAATATGATACAGACTAAGACTATGACTGTTTAACTTACATCTGTGTATGAAAAGATAAAGTTTTAATAAAGTCTTTCAATGAGGAGATGTAATGATTTGAATGAGAAGGAGACAGATGTATAAATATTAAGTTTTCAAGATGGTAGTATTTTTCTAATTAAAAAAACCCCGACATTAGAAGACCTAGAAAAATATTCCTATCTTGGAAGAAGCTATGTAAACAATGACCATTTAATGTTTCTCAAACTTTACTTCGTGATCCTTTAGCAGATTATAAAAAAACGTCTAGTGGGTTATAGATCAGTAACTATTTTTCTGCAAAAATTTACATTTGCCATATTTGCTTTAGTTTTGTACAAGTATGTACACATACATGTACAGACATATACACAAACACACTTTTTTTGTGAAACATTTGAATGTAAGTTGTGGATACTTTTCTAAGTGTTTCAGAATTCACACAACACATTCTCCTACATAACTACGATATCACTTATTAGATAATGTCTAGAACATATTTAAATTTCCATAATGGTCCCAAGAATGTCTTTAGAGCCTTTTCTTTTAAACCATGATCCAATCAAGCTTCGAGCACTGCACTGTATCTGGCCTTTTCTATCTTTTTAATCCTAAATAGTTGCCCTTCTACCCCTTTTCTTTACAACACTGAAGAATGACCAGCATTAAAAAAAACAAAAAGTCAGAGTACACACAGTAAGGCTAAGTATTATTTCATGGAATTTATTTGTATCATATAAATTGTATGAAAATTTGTTTCAGTCCTTAATTGTTTATGTACAATTTTGAAATAGAAAAAAACAAAAAATAAAAAATCTCAGGAAATGGAAAGCTTTTCAAGTTGGGCATAAACATTTCTCAGTAAAACCTAACTGGAACTGATATGAAGCTTTTTAGTCTTTATCCCACTTAGACTGAATATTCCAGAAATATTAATATATTTAAAAAGGGGTTGCTGCCTCCTAACTAGCTGAGATGGTTTATGGCTCGTGATATTTTCCTAATATCTGAAAACTGAATTCAGAAATTTATCGGATTCCAAAGGTTTCACATAAGGGATTGTGGACTTATACAGGTACTAGGTCAAAAAGTAAAGCGAAGTTACTGCTAAAATGTCTGAAAAACATAGGAGGTAAAATATATCTCAAATGCTGACCTTTAACTGAAGTTTCCATTTCTGAAACAGGTTCTGATTTTTCTTCCCCATTAGACTCATCAACTTCTGCCACAGTTGTTAGCTCTGGCTCACTCTTGTAGAGTCTATAATCTGGACCCTTGAAAGGAAAGTACACCATTAGAAAAAAATTGCTACGAGTTTCTTTTAAAATGTTTACCTCTGAAGACTCAAATCAAACTCTACAAATTAAAAGCCCTCAGTCAGCTATCTTGGATATAACACAATTAATAAGTATGTTATAACTAAGGTTGGGAAAAAAGAATTCTAACCAGTAAAACTTTTGGTTTTAAAATTAATTATATCATATTAACCCAATAAGCCCTATTCCTTTTTTCCTTATCCTTTTCTCCTTGCTTATTACATTTCACATTTATTGGCTTAACCTCAAACCTCTTATTTCCAGTTTTCATGGGTAATGTCTCTCCTTGGCAATGTCCACATCCTCTAATAGTTTTCCTTGGCTGAACTGCCCACATCCTAACCTTTTTATCATTCCTAGTAACAATCTTTTTCTTTCTCGCTTCTTGCTGATCTAAAGATATCATTTTGCCTCTAACATCTTGAAACGGTATATTTAAGGTATGGCCCCTTAAACACATGCAAAGTAACCACTTTATGAAAATACTTATGAAAAATATGAAATTATGAACTATTATTAAAATTGTGAAAATATTTAAAAATGAGAATGGTAAAACCCAAACAGGAACAACACAAATGATAATGTTATCTGTAAACAAAAAAAAGCAGTGGCTAAAAGTGGTGTTAGAATAAAAAAAAAAAGTTTGAGTGAAAAATCCATTTTCAAAAAGGAGAGGGCATGTATGACTGATCATTCTGTGGCTACTGCAGCCACTTACACAGTGAGATCCATTTCTTGGATATCCTTGAACTTGATGAATCTTCTTTTCTTCAGGCAGATGGACTGGGCCCCTGCTATAACAGAGCAAGGAGCTGCTGTCACTGGGCAGAGAGGGGATTATGGGAAGCTGCTCTGTAAAGTCATAGGACCGAGGAAGTGGAGGACGAGGTGGGACTACTTCCTCTTCCTAAAGATTGTAGAACAGTCACCTTATTTAGACAAGCATATTGAATGAAGTGTATCTAAATTCTTTGCAACGGTAAGTTAACTGAAATTCGCTTTAAGATAATTAAAGAGACACTGCCAAGCCAAAAGTCTCATATTGAAAAGAAAAACCGAAAAGGTTAAAATGTTTTTGATAGCCGATAAGTGGGTTTTAAATATGGTCTCTAATTTTTTCCTGCAACACAGGTTAGCTTTATACTGAAGCTGAACATCAGAACAGACGTATGAAACTACTGTGTTTCATTTTAAAAAACAGAGGAAAAGGGTTAATTAAAAAATCTCACTCCATATTTTTTTGGTAATTTTTAAGAGAATAAAATAAACATTTCTTTTTGATTGGCTTTTATACAGATTTCAAGACCATAGATGCTTTCAATTAGGTTGACAGTATCTCTTTGTAGTGGTAATTTCTTTATGGCATACATGATACACAGCCAACTTATCTATCAATCATCCCATACATTTTAAGAAGCATAAGAAACAATGATAAATATTCAAATCACTTAGATTAGAAAAAGTATGACAATGTTAACATTCTAACATAGATGAAAAGTAGTGATTCAATTTTTTTGCATTACGAAAAGGGAAGAAAAATCACATTTGTTAGAAGTACCAAATTACTGAACCAGTGAAATTTCAAGATTAAAACAGGTCAAACACATTCAGACAACATTTTGTTATGAGCAAAGACAATTCTAATTCATGTTTTAAACATTTAAAATAATTGATAGTTAGACAAACAATCCAAACTTACCTCATTTTTGTACTTGACTGTCGAGAAAGGCTTTGGTCCTGCCATACCTATCAAAGAAATTATAAAACATAACTACTTGTACTAAACATATCTTTCTAAATCTACAGAAAAAAGGGAATAATTTCATTCCACTTAATGAAGACTTCAGTTTTTAATCCTTCATTTACTAATGTTTTCACAATTTAAGACCAAAATTGGAGCCATCCTGGTGGTGCAGCAGTTAAGTTCCTGTGCTCCCCTTCAGCGGCTTGGGGTTCACCGGTTCAGATCCTGGGCAGGGACATATGCACCACTTATCGAGCCGTGCTGTGGCAGGCGTCCCACATATAAAATAGAGGAAGATGGGCATGGATGTTAGCTCATGACCCATCTTCCTCAGCAAAAAGAGGAGGACTGAAGTGGCAGATGTTAGCTCAGGGCTAATCTTCCTCAAAAAACAAAACAGAGCAAAACAAATTAAAATATCTAGTTTAAACAAGAGTATTGGGAAAAGGGTTTTCTCAGACATTACTGGTGTAAGCACACTTTGATATAATCTTTTAGGAGAGTAATTTGGTGGTACTTATCAAAATGGACAACGTGGGCTCACTTTCCACTTCTGGAACCCAGAAGCACCAGCATATGTGTTTAATTATACATACAACAATGTTCATTACAGCATTATGACAGAAACAAACAAACAAACCAAAAACCTGGAAACAATCTACATGCTCAGCAACACAGAAATGGATAAATTGTAGTTCATCTACACAATGGATTCTTAGGCAGCTATGATGTTGTATTGTTAAGGAGAAAAAGACAAATTGTTGAAAAATAGGTACAGTATAATTCCATTTTCTGTTGTGGGAAAAAAACCTCCTAAAATCAAAACACCACGTATGTTTTTAATTACACACACAAAACGAAGATTTATTTTTGTGTAAGCGTAGTTGGCAAAACTTGTGCTTTTTACTTTACAAATTTGTGTAATGATTCAATATTACAAAGGAGAGTGGCCTGTTTTCTGATGTCAAAATCCACTAAAATAAAAAAAGAAACCCGATTCTACGTGTCATTCCATTTAGATATACTATTATGGTCAATTACCAAGAATAAAATACAAAGCTACTTGACCTGTTTCTGTGGTGCCTCTCTGCTGCTTGTGTTTACTCAGTCCTTCCGTGACATCTTGAATTCTCCAAAGTTCTTTCTGAATCTGTGCACGCTGAATTCCTGCTGATTCAGTCTATTAGTAAAAATGGATAGACCAGATGCAGGGGAAAAATCATTAAATGAAGTTATGTCTCCTACTAATTATACATTTAAAAAAATGAGAATTACAGTGGATTAAGTTTTGGGAATATTTAATATGATCTATGTGACTCTCCCAATTTTGCAACTTCAGTGGTAAAGATAAAAGATAAAGCAGAGAAAGAAAAAAATTAATTTTTCAGACTTAAGCACACTATTTCTTATCTCTTCAATAAGCTTTGCCTTCTACTATTTACGGTCCCAGGAAGGAATACTGATCAGAGGGCCTAAAAATGGAAAAGAAAACCAAAAAGATAACAGAACAAAGCAGAAACCCACAAACCCCAAATTAAAAAATCATATATTTTAGGGGGAGAAAAAAGAAATGGAAAGTATACCAGCTTCTTATGGTCTAGAATACAATGAGACATGACAAAAAAGAAATTAAAAGGACAATTAACAAAATATATTTAGAGGAATTTTAACTGAGAGTTAAATAAATGTTATTTGCGGGACAAATTTTCAATTTCGGAATCTAGAATCTAGATTTTGGAACCTGCCATTTTTATTCTATCCTAAGCTATACCTACTTTCTTACTTCTAACACCCCATTTCATGCCCTCAGGCTAAATACTATAACTGAAACTTAAATAAGATCATATTGATTTTCTGTAAGATTCTAATAGAACCCTATGACTCTCACTGACAAATATTTAGGATAACAATAAATATTTTTTTAGGAACATAACTTTATTTAAAAAATAGGCAATAAAGTACAAAAACCATCACATTACCTAGAAAACAAGGTTTTTTCCACTGAATATCAGTTTTTGACAACTGTAGATATTAGAATACAAAAATCATTAAGATAAAAAATCCTCTGAGGGGCAGAGATATGTTTTCAAAGTCTATAAGCCTAAGGACTATGTAGTAACACTGCCTCAAAACAAGGTACCACATAACTCTGGTTATTGAGCTTTCCAAGCCACAGGCTGGAAGCATCAAGGGAAAGGAAGTACCCACACAAGACCCAAACCCAACGACAGCCCAGAGACGTGAATACTGATATACTTACGGGGAGGGAACATCAACCATAAAAATCAGACAGTGGGCATGCGTTTTATGACATGTATTACTTTTGCAATAATAAAGAAAATATGTACATATTTTTGCCTCTCTGAAAGGTGTACAACAGACATCTCATTTTTGTTTGATTTTGCATTTCTCTGGCTACTAGTGACTTTGAACAACTTTCAAACACTTGTTAGCAATCTGAGTTTTACTTTCTATGATTTAAAACGACTTATGTTCTTTGTCTGTTTTGCTGATGTATTGTTTCTCCAAATCAAACAGAAAACGTTCCTTGCAAATCTAGACAGTAACTCTCACTGAATTTTAGTGGTCAAAGATACTTCTTTCCAGTGTGTCATCTTTGAAGTTTGTCTAGGCTACCCTCATTGTTTACTTACTTATTTAACAACATGTATGTTTTATGCGCCTGGTACTACTTAAAGTGCTTCAAAAATATCAACACCTTTAATCATTTAATAAGCCAGTGCGGGTACTGTTGTTGTTTTCATGTCACAGCTGTGGAGATGAGATGCAGAGTTGTTACATGACTGGTCTAAGGTCACGTGTGCAATGCACTTCTCATAGAGTGTGCCTTCTAGTTTTTTTATTTTTTCAAAAACTGTCTTAACTACTTATGGTCTTGATTATACGTTAAAATCATCAGAACCATTTTGTTAATTTTTTTCAGAAAATTCTGCTAGAAATTTGGTTGGAATAGAATTGAGCTTATGGGAAGAATTTTCACCGTGACAATGTTAAATCAGGCCATCCATGAACATGTTTGAACTAATTACAATTCTCCATTTATTCAAGTCTTCTCTTATGTCCTATAATACAGAAATTAATTTTTCATGGTTTATATTTTTTTGTTAGTTTATATCAGGATTGGCCAACTGCTCTGGCCTGTAGTCTCTTTTTGTATGGTCTGTAAGCTAAGAACAAATTTTTACATTTTTGAGTGATTATAAAAAATCCCAAACCACCAAAGATTATGTGACAGAGTGTATATATTTAACATCTGGGCCTTTATAGAAAAAGTTTCCCGAACCTTGGGTTAAATTTTAGATATTTATAGTTATTTTTCTAATGTATTTAGTACCTCATTAGTGTAACTTCAGTGTTCAATACAAAAGTCACAACCACATGTGGCTACCTAAATTTAGATACTTAAAATGAGATATAACTAAAAATTCAGTTCCTCAGTCACACTAGCAACATTTCAAGTGCCCAACAACTACAAGTGGCTAATGGCTACTACACTGGACAGCACAGAGAGAAGACAGTTGATTTTCTATGAGTCAACCTCACTAACCATTTTTTTTTTTTGAGAGGAAGATGGTCCCTGAGCTAATATCTGTGCCAATCTTCCTCTACTTTGTATATGGGATACTGCCACAGCATGGCTTGATGAGTGGTGTGTAGGTCCATGCCCAGGATCCAAACCCACAAACCCTGGGCTGCTGAAGCGAAGCACGTGAACTTACCCACTATGCCGCTGGGCCAGCCCCCTTACTTACCTTTTAGTCCTTCTATTGATTTGTCTGTTGAGTCCACTGGGTTTCCAATGCAGATAACCAAATTTACATAGGGCCACAAGCATGAAGTGACTTTTATTATTTTCTTTTTTTTCCCCCTGCTTTTTCTCCCCAAATCCCCCAGTACACAGCTGCATATTTTAGTTGTGGGTCCTTCTAGCTGTGGCATGTGGGATGCTGCCTCAGCATGGCCTGATGAGCGGTGCCATGTCCCTGGCCCAGGATTCGAACCGGCGAAACCCTGGGCCGCTGAAGCAGAGCGCAAGAACTTAAACACTCGGCCAAGGGGCCGGCCCCCCCTATTATTTTCTTAAATGTATATTATCTCCACTCCTCAGAAGAACACTTTAAGAGAGGTATTATTACTTCCATTTTACAGATTTGAAAACTAACCCCTGGAACTTGATCCCAGATCTGCCTGTCTACAAAACTGGACTCTTTATGCCAATGGTGTTACATCTTCCCCTATTCTAATGATACATCAGTTGAGATTATAGGCTAAATATAGTTTGATAAAAAACAACCATTTAATATAGATAGATTAGAATACATTTTATAAAAAAGACAAAATAACAATTATTTGATAAGTCTATATAATTCAACACCTCAATACCAAGTGATGTAGTTAGCTAGAGGCACAGAACACTCCAGAGATCACCAATTACCCAACGGAATATAGAACTTTTTTTTTCCCATGAGGAAGACTGGTGCTGAGAGAACATCTGTGCCAATCTTCCTCTACTTTATGTTGGGATGCCACCACAGCGTGGTGTGATGAGCAGTGCTAGGTCTGTGCCCAGGATCTGAACGTGTGAATCCCAGGCTGCCAAAGCAGAGTGTGCAAACTTAACCACTATGCCACCAGGCCAGCCCCAAGAATAAAGAACTTTTAAACAATGAGGGACGGGCTACTTTGTGAGATAGTAAGATTCCTATCATTGAAAGTATTCCCACCCAGGTCTTAGGTAGCCAACAATCTAACAACTGTTAAGGGCGTGCGTGAATCTAACAAGGTGGGTTGCACAGTATCAGTCAATATCAGTTACAACAATGTAAAAAAATGACGCTTTCGTACCTGAACTTCACCCAGGCGATCCAGCTGCTCTTGCATCTGGTTCCTGGTAACAGTGACATCGTATTCTAGCTTGTCATATTCTCTCCACGCTCGCTCCAGTTCCTAAAATCAAAAAGCTTTAATTACTCAAATGGGGAAAATGTGTTTTTATGTTGTTATCAACTGTGCAGTTTATGTTCAGGAAAATAAAAATTTTTATGACCCATTTTCCTTTACTTTTCTCTCTCTTTTTTGCTCAATTCTACAAGAATTTACTGAGCCACTGAAGTATTCATTATTGCGCCACTGCTGTATTCAAATTATTGGATAAAGAAGATATGGTATATATACACAATGGAATACTACTCAGCCATAAAAAAAGACAAAATTGGCACATTCGCAGCAACGTGGATGGACCTCGAGGGTATTATGTTAAGTGAAATAAGCCAGTCAGAGAAAGACGAACTCTATATGACTCCACTCATAGGTGGAAGTTAATATATTGACAAGGAGATCTGATCAGTGGTTACCAGGGAAAAGGGGGGGTGGGGGGAGGGCACAAAGGGGGAAGTGGTGTACCCACAACATGACTAACAATAATGTACAACTGAAATCTCACAAGGTTGTAATCTATCATAACATTAATAAAAAAAAAAAAAGAAATAAAAACAAACCCAAACAAACCCATCACAACCCCTATTTATGCATTTGTGACATCAAAATATTTGAATTCATTCCCTCTAAAGAGTTTTATTTTGAGGAAATACATTGTTTTATTCATGGCAATACAGTAAATTTTCCTTGAATTTCTTAAAATGCAGTAAAGGCATAAAGAAAGCATTTTCTTATCTGTCCTGACTAAAATTTCTCCAGGATTACAAATACTAAAACAGAATGTGTTTCAGCATGTTGGATTTTCAGTAACACCAGAAGCCTGACATGATTTTACTTAGAATACATTTACAGTAATGTCATAACCTAATTCAGCTAACTAAACAAGTCAGTGAATCCTGCTCAGAGACCCAATATAGACAGCATCCACCTATACCTTTCTCCTTTGGGCAAAAAATTACCCCAAACTCTCAAATCAGAGAAGTTTTTTTGTTGTTGTTGAGGAACACTAGCCCTGAGCTCACGTCCACTGCCAATCTTCTTTTTGTTGAGGAATATTGATCCTGAGCTAACATCTGTGCCCATCTTCCTCATTTTATATGTGGGATGCCTGCCATGAAGTGGTTTGATAAGTGATGCATCCACTGTAGGTCCGTGCCAGGATCTGGGCCAGTGAACCTTGGGCCACCGAAGTGGAGTGTGTGAACTTCACCACTGTGCCACCGGGCCGGCCCCACAGAGTTGTTTTTCATACTTGGTCTTTAACTACCTGTCATCTATTGAATATAGAATGATTCTACAAGTGCTCAAAAATACGCCATATCATTCTGTTTCAGGGATGCTATTCTATGGGAGTGCAGACACTCTTCTTTGGGCTAATTACATGTTGGAGAGTGGTATGAGGTCAACAAATTGATAAACTAAGGGCAGGGACTGTTATTTGATCACTACTTTTTCTTCTGAGGAAGATTAGCCCTGAGCTAAGTGCTGCCAATCCTCCACTTTTCGCTGAGGAAGACTGGCCCTGAGCTAACATCCATGCCCATCTTCCTCTACTTTATATGTAGGACGCCTACCATAGCATGGTGTGCCAAGCGGTGCCATGTCTGCACGTGGGATCCAAATTGGCCAACCCAGGGCCTCGAAGTGGAACGTGCGCACTTAACAGCTGTGCCACCGGGCTGGCCCACCCGCCCCTTTTGAGGAAGATTAGTGCTGAGCTATCTACTGCCAAACCTCCTCTCCTTGCTGAGGAAGACCAGCCCTGAGCTAACATCCATGCTCATCCTCCTCCACTTTACACGTGGGATGCCTACCACAGCATAGCCCTTGCCAAATGATGCCATGTCCACATCAGGGATCTGAACTGGCGAACCCCAGGCCACTGAGAAGCGGAACATGCAAACTTAACCACTGCGCCACCGGGCCAGCCCTGATCACTATTTTATCACCAGTATCTAGTGTGCTGTTGGCACGTGTAACACAACCGACAAACACTACCAAACGCTGCTGGATTTCTTGCCTTGAACTGTTCTGAATGAAGCTCCCCTGGGAAATGTCAGTTTAACAACAGCAATAGTCTTGGGATAAGGAAAGAGGGTAGTGAGTGCAGAAGAAAGGTTACTTAAAATAATCTTAACAGTTTAAAATAAAAAGCAGCAATACCTCAAGTTCCTGAGGTTCTCTTTTAAAGATTTCACAATGAATTTTAAAAAGGCACAGTGATAAAGGACTAAAGATTTTTATCTCATCTATACTGTGTAAATATTAGTCTCCTTACTTAGCTTCAGCGAACTGTTTTTACCTGAGCAAATAACGATACTAATCTCCTTTAAGAAAAATTGCTTCTAGATATCTTCCAATTTGTTTATATCACAAAAACTGGGAATCTAAATAATGGGCCTTTGAAGGCTTCAGGGAGGGTAAAATGAGGATAACAGACCCCCGTGGCAGCCCAGAGAATAAGTCGGATGGCATTGCCAGGCTCACACCTAACCTCTCTGGTAGAAAAGCTAGAGGTCAGGGTGGGCTCAAAGGTGCTGTAGGGGCATCGAAATAGAAGATCATTTTAGGATGGTAGGAATTCTTGTCCTTCTTACAGAAACACACGAAAAATAGAGACTGAGAGCTAGAGATTTTTTTACCAATATTTTAGGAGTGAAGAAACACAACACACTTTCAGTTTCCGTAACCTGGAAAGCCCTCCATTACACTGTTTCATTTGGCCTGAGTCTCATAACCCTGCTGGGCCTACCCATTTCCGCCTTTACCTCTCAGCTCCTTAAACATCATGATGGGTGGACAGAACACAAGGCAAGAGGGGATGGCAAGAAAAGGGGCAGCGCTGGCATAACACCAGTCTCCTCCTAGCACCTGACTGAGGATTCCACTCAAGAATTTCATAGATTATCCAAGTAATGTTAAAATCTTTAAATATGTCCTACTATTTTTTGTCAAGAAGGGACTACATAGGTACACTAAGGCAATTAAAAGGGGTAATGACAATATACAATTATCTCAAAATCACAGGCACATGTCAGGAAATAGTGCTTTCAGTAAAAAGGTGGAGTTTCACGCCACATTGTTAAGAGAATGCATGAACTCCTGCAATCTGCAACCACATAGATAAACCTCACAATGTTAAAAGAAGCCAAAGAGCATATACTATATGATTATACTGTTATAAAATAGTTCAAAAACAGGCAAAGTCAATAATATATAATTTAAAAGTCAGGTAGTGGTGTTTTTGGGAGGGGGCAGTCATCGGGAGAGAAGCTTCTGGCACGTCAGTGAAATTCAATGTCTTGATATGAATGTCAGCCATATCTATGCACTTAATCTGTGTACTTTCCTGAGAACGTGTTATCCTCTAACAAAGGTAAAAAAAAAGGGCGTGCACGTGTGGGATTGTTACAGGGATGGCAGAAGACTTTTTACCAAATTTGGCCTAGTCTAAGTTTAGGGCATGGAACAAGTAAACTGTAATAGTGGTTACTTCTTTATAGTCTGTACTAAGACAAGACTTGCCACTGTGGGAAAAAGAAAACTTCAAGCAGGTCTGCAACACTCAGATGCACCGAATCCCAGACTGCCAGAAAGATCAATGAGCTACAGCTGCCACACACTGTGGTCCTTATTAAGAAAGGATTAGGACTAATGATTCATTTCCAAGTTTTTAATATAAGAAGAACTTTCCTCTTCTTGTCCAGGATCAATGGCAATTTATAACAAAATCTACTCAAGGGAATAGTTATACAAATGCTACACATAAATGTAAGTAATTATTACCATTATTATGCTTAGAGCTAACAGGCAGACTGGTTTATTTCTGGTTTGCCTTTCAATTAGTGTTTCTGAGTTTTAATCGAAGAAATGTTAATTTACTGTTCTGCTTTTCTATTTAAAAAATGAAGCATAAAGCTTTGGTAAAGAGTTGACAGTAGACTTTCCGTTTCAAAATGGAAGGGGGTAACAGTACAGATGAAGTACGATTATTTATTAGCCTCTTAAGCTTCAAACAAGTCTTTTCAGTTTTAAATATTACTGATTAATGTCCACTGCTAAATCTCAGAAAATGAAAGTGTTGAAATATTTAAACTTACTGTTATGTTTTGAGGACTAGACACAAAAAAATGGCAACTTTCTGGTCACTATCACCCAACCATAACAATTCTGTCAACTAGGTATTAGAAGCAGTTGACTTTTGAGATCAGTTAAAATAAAGTTAATCTGACTTCATCTTTACCTTCAGGATGTAGAGATTTCTTGGCACAGATTTTAAGAATGTGCTTAGTTACTTGAATAATTTTTCAAAAAAGAATATCTGTCTTTTCATATTTGCATTATCATACAACTGCATCTCAAAGAAAAATCACTATTTACTAAGCACATGACATACTTACTATATTATCTAATAACGACTATATTGGCTTTTTAAAATTTGGCCAAATTTAAACTGTGTAAAGGGAGGATCAACTAAATCGGCCACATTAATGGAGCTGCCTCTATTTCAAATTTCTAGTCGATGATAATTATAGTCATTCTACTTCTTGGCTATTTATAATCTTTAACTCCTATCTTCAGTTTCTCCTCTAATCTTGGCTTTGAAACAAAATTACATTCCATCTCCAAGAAAGTTGCTACTCTTTACTGTACAAATTTTAGATATAATAAACTTTTATAATCATAAAAGTAGAAAAGCTAGAACACAGGGAAAGGGAAAGAAAAAAAACCTATTACTGTGCTTCATCTTTGTTAGCATTTTCAAAGGATTTTCCTTTAGTCTTTCTCAGACATGTACAATAAAAATTTCAAAATATACACAGAAGTAGTGCCCACTTGCGCCTGAATTCAACAGTTACCCACAACAACAGAACCAATCTGGTTCCATCCACAGCACCCATATCCAATCCCCGAGTGATTATTTTACAGCAAACACCAAGCATCATCTCCTTTCATCTGTAAATACTTCAGTGTGTATTTCCAAAGAAAAGAAACCAAAATGAGAAAAGTAATAGGAAAATTTTTATTTTTTAAATTATTAATATGTATTCCTTTTTTTAAATTAATTTTTTTATTGAGTTAATGATAGGTTACAATCTTGTGAAATTTCAGTTGTACATTAATGTTTGTCAGTCATGTTGTAGGTGCACCATTTCATCCTTTGTGCCCACCCCCCACCCCATCTTTCCCCTGGTAGCCACTAATCTGTTCTCTTTGTCCACATTTTTAAATTCCTCATGAGTGGAGTCATACAGAGATTATCCTTCTATATCTGGCTTATTTCACTTAACATAATTCCCTCAAGGTCCATCCATGTTATTGCAAATGGAATGATTTTGTTCTGTTTTACAGCTGAGTAGTATTCCATTGCACATATATACCACATCTTCTTTATCCATTCATCTGTTGATGGGCACTTAGGTTGCTTCCATGTCTTGGCTATTGTAAATAATGCTGCAATGAACATTGGGGTGCATAGGACTTTTGGAATTGCTGACTTCAAGCTGTATTCCTTTTTTTAAAAAAACATTTCTAATTATAGTAATCCCCCCATCCCTTGCTACTTATTTGTTGAAGAGAATGGGCTACTTGTCCTATAGAATTTCTCCTATTCTGAATTTTGCTAATTGAATCCCTGTGGTACTGCTTGGAGAGCTCTTCTGTTCCCTGTATTTATTTCCTATAAGTCTGTAGTTAGATACTGAGACTTGCTGAGATTCAGATTTGATCTCCTGGTAAAAATACCTCGTAAGTGTTGTTGGGTCTTTTATACTGCAGCACATTAGGAGGTGTATCACATCTTGCTGTCTCTTTTTGGGGGAATGTTATATCGTATTCCACGACAATTCATGGTTGTTGACAGATCTACTGTAAAAATTACTTTGCTATAACCATGATTCTCAGTAGCTCTTTATAATATTGCGAATGAGTACACGAAGACATTGAATGTGCAAGCTTCTACCAGAGGCAGGTCCTTAGTCTTGCTTCTCTGTCCCTTTAAGTTTACAATCTTACACCCTAGTATATCCATTGTAGTCTAAAACTCTGTTTACGCATGGCCCTCCTATCTAGAATCCAGCTTAGTTAATGCGTCAGTTTGTCAAAAACACAGAAATACAAATATATTTTGCTACCATTATTGGATGAGTCACAAATTCTATCTATTATGATAAGTGAATGGTATCTGCTTTATCTGGCTCCTTGAATTGTTGGGAAGAATAAGAGAAGAACCTGTTGAACTGATAAAGCACAAGAATATTTCTCTGACATGTAGAGAGAGATAAGGCCTAATGTCCCCAAGAGAGGTGACTGTAGCAGATGTTTATGGAGCTCCACACCACATGCCCTTTGCCCACCTGATTTCAAGGAACAAGCATTTACAGTCCATGCATGCTGGTGTCTCATGGCAAGCTAGCTAAGGCAGTTTGAAGTGTGAATGAATTAAGGACCCCGGGGCAACTTCGACCAGAGTGAAGGATAGCCCAGCCTCCCTGGCGTTCAGTGGAAAATCCTGAAGCATTCTGCCTATTTCCTCAGTAAGTCCCCAGTGGGGTCAAATCCCTATTGCCCACAGTTGTAACCAAGACAGCAGTGAAACATATTGGCTCCTCCCCCTCCCTGTCTCATTCTCCACACCCCCATTTCCGCTTCCTGGAAGCATCTCCCAAACAAACCCAGTCCTCATCTCAGGCTCTGCTTTCAGGAGAGAACCTAAACGAAGACGGCGACACGCTGAAAGATTTCCAGGTGTAACTGGCTGTGATAACAATCTTTCTCACTAATCAGACTCAGATAAAAAGAAGTAGAGGCAAGGAGGGGACACAAAGGCGCCGTGTGCTTAGAGCATGTGTGTGTGGGATGGGGCAGATGATGAGGAGATGTACTGTCAAGATTTAAATAAAACGTAAAGGGAACACTGCTTTACAGGTTCACCTTGTGTTAATCTTAGTTTCATGTACCTTAGTGGCCAACCAGGTGAGGAGAAGATGTTCTCAGAATCAAAGATTCGATCTATGGAGGCCTTAATGGTACACCTCTTTATTATATCTTTTATACCTCAGGACTTGAATCAGAACCAATGACCCGATTCAACTGTGAAAGAATCAGCGGAATCCTTTGGCATTCTGCTGGCATAAATGTAACTCAAATTTAAATCTAATCAACATCCACTGAGTGCCAACCATATGCCCAGTATGATGTTACACATCATTTGTAGCCTTCAGCTACAATCTGAGTGAGTTTACATAAAGGCACAAATAACACAGTTTGTATTCTACGTAGCAAGATATGTCTTAGAAGAACATAGTGACAGCTTGTAATTGACCGCTGAATAATGCTGAAGGCAAGGGGAAAAAAACCAGGAAAGTGCTTATATAGGATATCAACAGTATATTCGAATGTGACTAATTTCTACTAAAACATTTTTTTTTTTTAGATTTTACTTTTTTTCTTTTTCTCCCCAAAGACCCCCAGTACATAGCTGTGTATTTTTAGTTGTGGGTCCTTCTAGTTGTGGTATGTGGGACGCCACCTCAGCATGGCCTGATGAGCAGTGCCATGTCCTCACCCAGGAGCACGTGAACGTAACCACTCGGCCACGGGGCCGGCCCCTAAAATATTTCTAATAAACTTCCATCAGGCCTGGAGTTAACCTTAGGATGAAGCAAATTCTAAGCCTACCGATGAAATTTGTTACTAAACCCACTTGGGAAGGGAAGAAGTAATGGTTCAACTGAACGCTCCACGTCCCTAGAACTTTCCAAACCAGATAGCAAATCATAAAATAGCTTCTAACTAAATTTTGACTTGACTCAGGTTGTCATAGCGATACTGAGCTTTTCATTAGCTTGGCATTGACAGCTTGACCTCGTATTCCCTTTCTAATCTCATATTCCTGATCCTCTATTCCAGTCAGTCAGTTAGTTCTGTTTCTTGCTTCTCCAAACACATCTCCCACATTCTCATCTCTGTGCCGTGGTTCAAGGTGTTCTGTCCCTCATGGACAGCCCTCATCCTTCACCTCCCCTTTCTTCCCATCTAAATCCTACCCATCATTGATTAAGTAGGCACTACTCCATTGCAGACAAAATATCAGGTGCATATATTTTCTTTATGACTATATTATAAAAATCCACGTAGAGCCAAGTCTCAGGACTATGGTTAGAAGACCTGGATTTGAGTTCCAGGCATAGCATTTTTAGCTCTGCAACAGTGACGCAGTTCATTCATCAAATTCTTAATGCATATCCTATAGTGCTAAATGCTAGAGCTAAAAGATGAACAAGATATGGTTCTGATTTCAAGAAGGTCACAATTGAAAGGATACTTAATTCTTAAAAAATATGTAAACATCACAGTATAATTAAGAGACTCAACTGAGATAATGAAATAATATTTTAAAAACAGGAACAGGTATATTAAATATAAGGTATTTAAGAAGCACAAAAACTAAGTTTTGACTTATTTAAAACCATGGTATATTCCTTTAAAAATAGCTTGTGTTTGGAATGTTAATTTAGTGTTTGGAATTGAAGCCCTGTTGAGATACTGGTATCTTGCCAGCTTGGAAAGACCTCTCTTAGCTAAGCCGTATTGTCTGTGAACCTTCTTAAAAGGTAGCTGCTCCCTGGACAGCCCATTGAAAGTATACACAAGGGTGTGTTAGCAGTTTTCTCTAACAGGTGGCTTTTGCTGGGACTTCTCCTTCAAAGGGCTGCTTGGGCAGGTGCTCTTACTATGTTTAGAGATGACTGCATCATAGGCTCTAAAGCAGACTGTTTAAACTCTTAAAACACTCAATTTATAAACTCGAAGTCAGACTTTTAGATTGGCTAATCTCAAGGGACTCTTTATTAAGTGACATGACTATGCGTTAAAAGGTTCTACTAATTATATTTGTTACTCACACCTACCATCTAAACTTAGGTCACACTGCAGCTATGACATGGTAATGTTGACGGCTTCTTAAAAGCATTTCACAGCTGCTTTTTACTGAAATGGTTGGTTAAATAAATCCAATTAGCACTTTCCCCAAATTATTCTAACTCCCCTAAAATCCACAAAATATTTATTTTCCTTTTACTTTTGTGAGAAAGATTGGCTCTGAGCTAACATGTGTGTCAGTCCTCCTCTATTTCACGTGGGATGCCACCACAGCGTGGCTCGATGAGTGGTGCTAGGTCTGTGCCTGGGATCTGAACCTGCAAACCCTGGGCCGCTGAAGCAGACTGGTGAACTTAGCCACTATGCCAAGGGGCCGGCACCAAAATATTTATTTTCTTAATGCAGTAAATATTAACATAGTTAAGAATTTTGCATTTGCATGATACATAAACAGGAGTATTTATCTCCCCTGTAAAACAACTATGTCACAAAGGACAAAATGCCTACTATTTAAATAGAGAAATAAAGATCACTCCTTATTTTTATTATTAATTAATTTCTTGTTATAGTGAAGAATAACCCTAAGGACAGTCCAATTAAAAAATACATAAATTAGAAAGAAGAAAAAAAGAAGTGCATAATATTTCAGTGACTCTTACTAGGAAAAAAAATCTGCTACTTACAGCAGTGGCTCGGGAGAGTTCCCGACACGTACTGAGCAGTCCATTTTGTAAATCGTCCCTCTGTAACACCACGGTCTGAATGGCTGCTGGGTTATCTGCGTTCATTTCTATCTCTTGGCTGGCTGATAGCAAAGCTTGCTCAAGCGTGTACTATTATAATAAAAATAATTACACTTAATGTTCTGCATCATCGAATTAATTCTTTTTTACTATAGTTATCAGTGTCCTGATAATAATCATATAAAGTAACGTCAATTGTAGATAATAAACATAATTGTCCTACTTTCTCCTTGTGGAGTTGCTGAAGTTTCTCTTCCAGAGCATGTACCACTTTATCCTGTTCACATAATCGGCTTAACTTGGCCTAGGTTATAGGAGAAGATGTCTTTCATTAGCAACTTTTTATTTTCCCTGTAATTGGAGGAAGGCAGTCACTCCCGTAACTGAGGTATGTATAACAAGAAAACACACTTAAAACAGCCATGGAATACCTAATCAGGTCAATCTTTATTTCAATCAGTAAAATAAAAATTAAAGTATAGCTTATAAAGATAGAATGCTTAAAAACATGCAAAGTGAAAAAGCATTTCAACCATACCATTTAACCTACATAATTCAAAATATTATTAGTCATCAAGCAGTCTCATATGATTTTAACAAATCATTTCAATGTGGTTAAGATTTTTTCTCTACAAATTGCTGGATAGGTTAAGTGATATACATTGTCCTTAATTAGAACACCAGCTGGATTCTGCTTTATATTTTTTAAATGTGCTCTTATGTTCTGAGAAAAGAATATAAACAAAAGATTGCTTCTAATTGCAATAATACAAATAAAAATATTGGTGATAGCCAATGGAGAAAAATCACTTTCAATAGTTTTAATGTTTTAAATTCTTGGTACTACCCCAATTTTTATGAAAATACGAGAGGGTACTCTAATAAAATTTCAATACTACAATAAACCAGTCCTCCAAACATCTGAAAATAAAAACCCTGGACAAACTGTAAATATGTCCCAAATCTAACTGCATAATGACAAGCAAGCAAGAAACCTGAGAATTCACTCTTTGCCATTTGTCCATTAAAGTAACCACCTTATTTTTTTAGACAACAAAACTCAAGCTACACCAAATGGACTGTATTGAAATGAGGAGCTACACCTCAATGGAATAAAAACCAGAGGAAAGGAGGGAAGAATGAGATATAAATACAAAAGAATGTATGGCAAGTCAGCGATCTAAAATAGATTTTAAAAAATCCAAACCTTAAATTTAAGTGAAAAAGGAAGCGGTGATAGAAGTCACAGACAATTTTACTTTGTCTCCAGTTCTCTATCATTTTTTTAAAAATCAGAAATAGTCTTTTACTTTCATTTAAGTGATTCTTAATATGTTTAAGCACTAACTATGGGGGTAGGGGTGGGTGGAGAATAGACGGGGAGCGAGGATTTAATTGAATCTAAGTGCAAAAGCAGAAGAAAATGCGAATTTCTTTGATGTCATTTGGGAGAGCGGGGAGGAAGAGCAAGTTTTCTGTCATGCTTATTTCCAAAGTTTTGGCAGAGAATATGACAGAGCACTGACAACATATAGCTTACTAATACTTACATCAATATCGACTTCTTCAGGTCTGTATTTGTATAATGTGCCTCTACATTCATCTTGTGACAGCTATAAGGAAAAATGCCATATAACAACTTTAAAAAAATAATATTTAAAAATATATTTATTTAGTCTACACTTAATATTTAGATTTACATAACAATAACAAAAATGGGATTTTAAGGCTTCTTATGCTCTTAGAAGTTTACTTCAAACACAGATCATTACAAAAGTAGAAAAATATTTCACAGTGATACGGTATGCAAGGTACATAAGAATGATGCTAACTTAGGCTTGTCAAACAAAATAAGCTATTCAAGCAAAATTATATAGCACTTTACATTTTCCATTTGTAAGACACACATTCTTTTAACGAAAAATCGACAAATACAATCATAGCAACTGTGTTGAATCAAATATTCAAATCAGGCATATTTGAACAGTCAAAGCCATCCTTCAAGGTATACACATAACACACAACTGTGTATGTGTACACTCAAATGCCAACACGTCTTAGTACAATTTTGTTAACAAAACCTGCAACATACTGTATACATGTACGTAATATATAAACACACATACACAATAAAGACTTATCTTGTTCTTCTGTCTTAAGAACTAAAAGATAATGGAGGAAAAGGATGGGTTTAATTGAAAAGAGGAAAATCAGTCAAAACCTCATAAAGCTGAAAGCCTGTTATAAACTACGGGTAGTCAAATTTCATAAGTTTATATGTGTCCACTGACACCTTTTATTATACCGTAAGGAATTATTATTCAGTGTAAACATCCTTCCTTCAATTTTTTCCAAATATCTTTTGGTCAAACAAATCCTCATTTCTGACTCTGCTTACCAAGATTTCAGTAGCCCTCCCAGTCAGTTATACCACAGATCACATCACAGCCTCTGCGGGCAGTATTTCACTCTCTCTCCTGTCTTTGGACTTTATATTGAGCGCCAGACAGTAACAAAAACACGGTAGGAAAAATTTAATTGGGGCTCACTGCATGTTTACTAAATGGTACACTTTTTCTCAAAGTGAGGATGGGAGTAACGTATCCCAACTACATTCTAGGTTGGAAAACTAAATTTCATATGTACATATACAAATGCCTAAGAAGGTATAAGCTACAACTATGTATGCCCTCTCTGTAAGAAACTGCTTGACAGTTACATCTTTAGAAGAAGGCATGATTTAAACAGCAGACAACTTTGAATAGATCTAGAAATGTGGGAATTAGGAAGTTAAAAATGTAAGCATTCCAAACATACAATAATAAATCCTAGATTTACGTGTTTCATTTCAAGACATTACTTTCACGTACCTCATGCAAATGAATCTGTGACTATTTAAGGGTATGCACAGTGATTAATAAACCACAAGACTTTCAGAGAAATGAGTATCACATGAAAAATGAATTTAATGGCAAAAGTCACAACACTTATGTACTATTTTAAAATATCCAAGGATCACTATGAATATGTCCTGAGAAGTGTCAACTGTCATTCTGAATTAAAGCACCTAGATCCAAGAAAAGAGTTATACTCCTATCTGAAAAAAAAAAGGGCATGTAGAGCAAGTTTGAAAATGGCTTAGATCCATGATAAAAAATGCAAAACAACACGAAAATTAATTCTTCTCATTTATAAGAAATTAAAGATAGAAAGCCTTTAGCTACTAAATGTCCAAATATACTTTGCTTATTTAATATTTAAAGTTAAATGCAAAACAGCTTTACTAAACCATGGAATGTATAATTTGAATGTAACTAGTGGACAGTGCTACATTTAGATAAAAATATGAATTATATTCTATATCCCAGGGTCAAGAGAAAAAACATTAGTATTTTAAATTGGAAATTTAGTAATCTGTAATAAATATTTAGGATATTGGTATGCTATTTTCATTTAGGAATCTTATTGCACGTTCATTTTCTTATCAGTTAGTATATTATAAAAAAGAAAATGTGTGCTGTGTAGTTATAATTTTAGAATGACACATCCTTATAGCCATATAAACATATTCCACAAGTAAATTAGATTCATTTTTGTTGTGCCTCTATTTTTAGTAGCACTGAAAAATTTATTTAAACCTTCTATCAAGTTATTCAAAAAAGATATTCATTATTAGATACCAACTAACAAAAATCCTAAAATAATTAACTTCCCACTATATATTGCTTTTACCTGTCAGAAGAAAAGCATTAAAAAAACCAAGATTATTCTTTAAATAATTAAGCGTTAAGCATGGCCTATTTTCCATTAGTGATAATAATTACTGAAGCTTTTCTTAAGAAAACATGGATATAATTTATTAAAAAAACAATTTCCATCTAGAATTGAAGAACTCTGCTATTTAGTCCTGAATATGAAAATCCTACTAACAGGAAAAATGTAATTTCGTGAATATTCTGATTAGCTCAAGTTCTTTATAAAATAACGTTTCATGGCAATACTTTTCTATCGTTTTTCAATTTCATCTTTAGCCAAGAAAACAAAAAAGTTCTGGGCTTGGATGCCTGTGTTTGAAGTCCCTCAGCAACATCAGAACAGTAAATGAAAATGGGCTTTGTAGTTACATAAGCTCGAGCTGTGCTCAGGCTCCAATTTGCAAAGTGTATTATACAAACTTTACTGACTAGATAACATGTGCTGTATTTTATTTAGAAAGTCAGAGCTTTTTCATAATAAAATACCTAATTATTTTTTTTAAACTAGCTTGGCATTAAGTTGAGACAAAATTACTTTTGTTAATTAAAATTCAACTTTCTGAAGTATCCTGTTTAAGCAGTGGGCTATGTATATATTTTAAAGTATATGAATATATTACAAACACCAAAAAGGATTTTGGGGAACTATTTGATAAAATTAGATACTATCTCCTAAGAGGACTCGAAACTGCTCAAAGGGCTGTAGGTGTTTGCCAATATCAGCATCTCTTAAAATAATTATTTATCAGGTGATTAATGTCACCAACATTAATTATGTTATAAAAACTCTGGCACAAAATGTAATTGTGAAAGGTGGTACAAAGAGTAATAAATGCAGAGGAATTTTTCGACTTGCTCACTTATTTAGCATTTGTTTCGATTCAGTTTTACGTCTTTTTTATTTGACTAATTTTAAGAAAATCACTGCCTAGGTAATTTCTCAGGTGTCCTCTTTCTTCTAAGAAAATGCAAACATGAAGGTCCTCTTGAGAGAAAACCTGAATGGCTATGAAAACACTCTCTTGCCACCGAATTTTCAGCTAAATTTCAGGAACCTATTAACACAGCATTGCAATGCGCCAGCAGAGAGGCAAACTGTAACAGTGTACGATAGAAACTTTCATCAAGATTTTCTTTGGATAAGAACATGATAAGGGAAACCTGGAGAAAAAATAAGGTCTAATTTCAGTTTATGCAAATTTACACCCAGAGTTTATGAAATGTGTCTGACTGTCACTTTTATCCAACAATGAAGCCCTGCAATAATTAAGTACTTTACTAGTGGCTGATGGAAAAAGGACTGCCCAAAGTCTCCCTAGACTTGACTGCATGGACAGTCAACACTCATTACCTGGCAACTGGTCACCCATCTCGTGTCTCGGCATGGCTGCTGACATAGCACACTCAGATCTTCCTGTACTGTACAAATGTTTTTCTTTCAAGTATTAATGTGAGAAAACATACTTATATAAATCTACTGCTCTTTCGGTATTCAAGGTCAATGATGCTATATAAGACCAGTTCCAGATATCTCTACACTTTTGGAAAACCTCCAATTCGAACTTCTGGTGCAACTGAGTAATTTCAATAGCTGTGACTTCTGCATCATCAACCCTGATTACTGATAAATTAAAAAAGAAAAAACAAACCAAACCAAAGAGAAAACCCAGGGTACCCCTCTTACTGAAAACATGAAAAATGTGAAAAATGAAAACATAACCTATTACAACAAAATGCCTTTGATCTCATGTCAATTTAGCATATATAAAATGACAAACTGACAGCTTCAGACACTGAAAAAGGTGTTAATTCCAGAAAAAGTGCTAGGGTTCTCAGTGTGGCATTTTGGAATGGAGTGTCAAGATTCTATAATCTGGTGACCTTAAGAACGACAAGATTCCATTTTCTTTTGGAAAGTAAAGCTGTTTAACTTTAAATATTTAATAATTTCTCTCTTTTTTGCAAATTAAAAACTGTGCTCAATCATATAATATACTTTAAATGTTTTGAAAACTGTGCTCAGAAATAAGTCACCCTCCCACCAGCTGGGTCAATCTCCCAGTTACATGGCCCACGATGCAGACCCCAAGGCGACTAAAGCAAACCAGAAGCCTTTAAAGCCAGTGTGAGCTCAAGGTTTCTTTTCACCAGGTGCTTTTAGATATTTTCATCAAAATATATATTCATTTTTCATGTTACGTTAATTTTCTTCTTCTGTATGATTTTTTAAGTATTGGAACAGGTCAGAGGCCACAGAAATTTGAGGGTGTCGAGTGGAAGAAGCTGATGTTGCAAAACACACAGCTAAGAACATTTAGACCATGAAATACAAAAAAACTGGATAGGAATGTATAAAATGACTTCTTTTGCAGATCTGCAGATTAGCAAGGTCCTGAATTAAAGCCAGCCAACTCCATGGCTCATATGTTGAGTTAGGGAAAAGAATGGGGTAAGAATGACTACCTTGATGACTGCATGAGAATGATAAGAATACAGGGAGAAGGTACTCTCCGTATATTAAGGAATGGCTATCTTCAAGTTTTACCATACCATAGTACACAAATTAGATTTCAATAACTCCCATACAAATATAATCTATTCCTAAAACACTGAGCACCGGGGGGTTTGGGGTGGGGGGGCTGCCCCTAAAAGGACAAAAAAAATTTTTTTAAAGTTTCCTCTAAAAATCTGTTATAACGCTTTTAGAGTTAATTAAAATTAACGAAAATCTAGTAAAAATTTTGCAAATGTACTGCAGACCTCCAAGTACATATCAATCAAATACTCTGCACAAAAACTTCAGGAAGATGGCACATTTAATATTCAACAGCAAAATGTTCAGCGAAGCCATGCCAAGAATACTGCAGCATCTTGAAAAGCATGGATGAATTGCATTTTTCCAAATAGACATAAAACAAAAAATGGAATAAAAACACTAATGTTATGAGTAACTCTGAGGATAAACCAAAACTGTCACTGAGGGGTTCTGCAGATGATAAAGCAGTATCATTCACTGTCCAAGACCTTACTTGCTGGTACAGTTGGGGTCTTAGCGCCGAGTTCTCAATCAATGTGTGAACCATGGCGATAATAGGTTCATTTTCTTTCATCTATTTCAAATCAGGAGGAGCATACAGCAAACATCAGTTTACAGCACAGCTAGATTTGAAAGACGACACTGTAAATATAGCCTCTACTTTAACATCCTCCTAATAGCGCAGTTGTTCACATTTTACCCCAAGGTTGTACAGATTAAACTTATATAAACCATTTCAAACAAGTATTACATGCTGTAAAATACTTCCGAGGTTATAAAGAAAGCTTACGAATTGCAATATTGCTGCAACTAGGTTTTACTTTATAATTAATATAGTCAATTAATGAATATTTCGACACATATTAGAATAGATGATAAAGCATCATGATTCTAAGAATAAACAACCTATAACCTTAAAAAGAGAAAAATAGCATCATTTGATTATTTATTCAGTAAAAAGGCTTAAAACGATATTCAGTTCTTTATTAGGTTAATCAGAAAAAAATTTAGTTCTAAGTATTAAAACTTTATAATATAACAATCGATATATCTTGTCACTTAGAAAATCACATATTTATTAAAGTTAATCTCGACAGACATTTATATACATTCTATTTTGGATTTTCTCACAGTATGACACCAAACGTAGAATTATTTCAAGGACACGCAAACTAAAATTTATTTAGCAAAGACTCAGTGTATCTCCCCAGTGCCTAAAAAGGCTGAAACCATGTTTCACATTTCCAGCTATGTTGCACTTAATTACTGCCTCTAGAAAAATATTTGTTTTAGCAGGCTCTCAAATCAAGAGTCATAGCATTCAAAAGACAATCATCATGATATATATAGAGTAAAAGGCCAACAAGGTTTATACCATTTGTAAGCAAACAAGTCTGTTTATAATTGCAATTTGTGACATTTAGTTCACGTAATTTTCATCCTCCATGTTACAGAAAATAAGCATTTCCATCATGGTTAATGAATGCTACTTTACTGATTTAGCTAAATCTACAATAAAAGTTTACTAACATTAAGGTTAACACATAATGTAACTAAAAAATAAATCTTGAAAACTGTATGTCTAGACAATTTCATTTTTAGCCTAGTTACCAATGTTTCATGTCAATAAACCTGATTTGGTTGATAAATTAGAAACCTCTTGTGACTGGTTTATTCTACTTTTAAAAAGTTTTATTCAAGCTAAATAATTTATTTTTTATTTTTATTAAAGATTTTTTTCCCTGCTTTTTCTCCCCAAATCTCCCCAGTACATAGTTGTATATTTTCTAGTTGTGGGTCCTTGCAGTTGTGGCATGTGGGATGCCGCCTCAGCATGGCCTGACCAGCGGTGCCATGTCTGCACCTGGGATCTGAACTGGCGAAACCCTGGGCTGCCAAAGCAGAGCGCGTGAACTTAACCACTCAGCTACGGGGCCGGCCCCTAAATAATTTATTCTAAAATCTACACATCTACATATTAAACTCAAACTCCTCCCCGCCAATGTTATCCAATAAGGGCCCAAGCCATTTATAGGTGACATTGCACATGGGACACAAATGTGTTGATATGCAGTACAGGATAAATTTTTTTAGGGTTGGAAAGTAACTTATAAATAGACAACTATAGATATGTTTTTCTCTAGGAGAAAAAAAGCTTTTATTACAGAAATTTAAGACTCCTGTGTTTTAAAGCACCCTCTATGTTTTAGGGAATGCCAGTTATTTTATCTTAATCAAATGTTCATCCTGGAATAAACTATAACTGCCTTTTGTTTTGGCTTAATCATTTGACCGCACTGATACACACTTCCCATAATACAAGTAGCTTAAGTCTCTATCCATTTTTAGCACCAACATTAATTTGCAAAGCCACCTCATCTATACACGCTAACATTACTGGGGGTTGAGGGGAGGTCAGGAGCATGAATTTTTATGAAATAATGGAGATCAGATAGTATCCAAAGGTAAATGATACTCAAGATCAAACTGAAATTGCCCGTGGAGTCTTGGAAATCTGGCACCATAAATGGGCCTCTGTGTCACATGGCTAGGTCTGTCGATGCGGCGCACACCTGTAAGTGCAGCTTCAGTGTGGCACAGACTAATGACTAATGTTCATACTCTAGGCCTGAGGAATGTACTTTAAAAAGTATTTTATTTATTTATTTATTTATTAAAAAAGATTTTATTTTTTTCCTTTTTCTCCCCAAAGCCCCCCAGTACATAGTTGTGTATTTTTTGTTGTTGGTGCTTCTAGTTGTGGCATGTGGGACGCCGCCTCAGCATGGCTTGATGAGCGGTGCTGTGTCCACACCCAGGATTCGAACAGGCGAAACCCTGGGCCACTGAAGCAGAGCATGCGAACTTAACCACTCGGCCATGGGGCTGGCCCTTAAAAAAGTATTTTAAAAGGGAGAAGGGACAATATGGTTTCTGCAGAAGGATAATCACGCCTGATTTATTTAGTGGAATACTTTGAGAGGGTCAATATGCACATGTATACAGGGACACCATGCTTGTGATTTAAAAATGCTTTGTTTAATTTACATGTCAAAGACCGTTAAATATTAAGTCACTGAGAAGGGATCTCTGCAAGAAGAAACTGACTTAGAAAAACTAAAAGCCAAAAAAATATATATATATATATATTTTTTTTTTGGTGAGGAAGATTGGCCCTGACCTAACATCCACTGCCAAACCTCTTTTTTTTGCTTGAGGAAGATTAGCCCTGAGCTAACATCTGTGCCAGTCTCCCTCTATTTTGTATGTGGGATGCTGCCACAGTGTGTCTTGTTGAGTGGTGTTAGGTTTGCACCCGGGATCCGAACTTGTGAACCCCAGGCCGCCAAAGCGGAGCATGTGAACTTAACCACTATGCCATTGGGCTGGCCCCTAAAATAATACTGAAAGTATACAAACTCCAGTGTCTCTGAGATCACTTCTGGAACGATTTTTCATTATGAGAAATTTCACACATACCTAACAAATCCTAGAATACTAAAATTTGAAGGCATCTCTGGAAGCTGACAATTTAGTAAAACAAAGGAATGAAAAATGTTAGCAATTATTTTGAATTGTGGGACTGTGGATAATTTTTTTTCTTTCTCTATGCTTCTCTACATTTCCCACATTTTCTCCACTGAGTAGATACTGCTTTTCTAACATAAAAAAAGTTATTAGAGAGACAAGGATAAAAATATATGCCTGAAATAAACTAAATTAATAAAACAACTATATTCTCTGGCAAATACTTGGTGACACAAGAGGCTAAGAGAAAGTTTTAGCACCAGGTGTTCATAGCGTGTTCAAGGCTGGGAGTTAAGCCTGCTGGAGACGTTCAGGGCAGAGAGGCCCTCCCTCATCCAGAGAAGTGTTCTCACACAGCCTTTACTCTGTCTTATGATCTGTATCCACATCAGAAATTTATTGGAAGGAATGTTAAGTAATTAAGAAAAGCAAGCTACCCAATGCATTTGGAAATACATATAACTATCTTACAATACCATTTTTCTTTTTCTTACTGGCTACTTCAGAAATCAAAGTTCAAGTTTATTTAGACCAGGGGTTCTGAACCCACACCAGAATCACTCAAGGAGCCTGCAAAGACTACAGACACTGATTCCCAGATAATTCTGATGTGCAACTTGAGAATCTCTGACGGAGACAATATCATTAAACACGATCACAGGCTGGCCTGAAGATCCCTTTGGCAGAACCATGATGTTCTCCAGGTGTTAAAGTAAGCTAAATGCAACTTGATAATGGTGAGTGTTCTTCAGCTCACATACTCCTGGGAATCTCATTTTACTCAAGTTGGAGAAATGGGATAGGACTATACATGGAAAGGCAGAAGCAGTGGGACCACTTCAGAATTCCCTTGGGCATCATACCCACTAAGCCCGGGCTCTGAGGATGAGTAGTAGTGGGCTATAAGAATGACCTGTGCAGGCTGAGTGGTCCTGTATCTGGTGGCTCTCTCCCTGCACATGGCCTCCTGCACATGGCCTGCAACAGCTGAAGCCAACTAAACACAATAATCAGGATGCCATACAATGGGAGTTTGTCCTTATTAAAAAGTTTCAACGATCTGAGGACAACTTCACTCCTTCCAGATTTACTGATTGCAAATACTAGATCTGTCTTATCTCCAGAGTTACCCTAGAAACAGGCTAGTGGTTCCTTTCACTAAACCATCACATATATATTTTTTAATCCTTAGAAACTGTCTTGTTCCTGTATCTCACACTGAAACAGCACATTCCATCTGGCTTTTGCTATGTAAACTTCATAATAGCTTTTGAATTACAGCAGTAAACTAGGAGCTAAAAAGAAAAAAACACATCTAATGCTCCATGAGCACCTTGGAATTTTGTGCTTAAGTTCTTTAAAAAAAAAAAAAAGGGCATACCCAGCAATTCTCTTCTGGTTTGAAGACAAGAACCCTAGACAGCATTATGATGGTGGTGTTAATAGCTGACATATTTTGGTTTAAGGAATGAGAGCAATAGAAAGAGCAAGAGAAACGTCTAATCAGTACATGGAGGATGTTTAATAACTTACTTGAAAATGAGCTAAATGCTTTGCTTCCTGCTTTCATTGCTTCTTTGAAGTAACAGGTATTATAGGGTTAGGTTTCAGTTAATTGCTAAATGATAAAGCTATTATATAAAAAGCCCATCATTTTATAATAGTAAAAATAAGAATGTATGATTCAGGCATTACGTTATTTTCATAATTTACTTCAGCAATAAATAAGAAAATGTAAGTGGAAACATCTTGGAAATACACTTAGGTAATGCCAATGTATTTCTCTTTACAACAAAAACACGTATTTTTACTTGACATTTGTAAGTCCAAAACTACTTAGAAAATCTGATACTCACTCTGGCCTCTTTCTCAGTTTTGGGGTATGTTGGACTAATACGAATATAGAGCATCTTTTGATGATTCTGTCAGAAATATGTTGATTTAAAAACCCATCATGAAAAAAATTATTCAACACGATTCTGTGTAACTACGTCATACTTGCTAGGATCTTGAGCAGAACTTCCCACTGACTCCTGCAGGCTGGGA